TAACAGAAGCTTTATTTTTAATGAGTTTGGATATATATTATTATTACTACTTTCAATCCTGAATATGACATGAGATATGTAATTAATTTGTGTAGATTAAAAAATGAGTTAAATTTTAGTTTCTAAAATATCTCCATTTATTTACATTATATTGATAAAAACTCTTTAGTATATACTACGTTCAGTCCTTAATATAAAAGCTAATTTGATTTCTAATTTAGAACTAGATAGAAGACCCCCCCAATTTACTCTGTCTTTCGTATTTATCTATTTTTTTCAAAGTAGTTCTTATAATAATTGCACATATTAAATTAATGTTTTATCAAATGGTAGTTTTAGCTAATATATATTATTAGTAAGAATATTTTGAAAAAAATAACGCCTATTTATTACAAATAACAAACTTAATTTTTATATTAAGGAATATAAACATTATCATACTTCTTAGAGATGTATAACTCTTCTACGAAACTCTTCTTTACATTTTCATGTATTTATACCCATGACTTTAAGCTTAAATACGTTATATTTGTGGTGGGAAAAACTCTAGCGCGCAGTTAATCTACCCCCTTGTACCTTCTATTATAAGTCACACTCAACAAAAGTTCCATATACAGGTTAGAATATAAGTTATTGTTTCACAAAATTTTGTATAGCAGTAATGAATTTATTTTAAAAATGTCTTCTTATCGAAGTTTAATAATGAATAAATATATATATTGTCGGCAAAAAATAATGAATAAATATATGTTTTTCAAATTTACAATACTATTGAAGATGAAAATAAAAAATAATTGCTTACATAATTTAACTAATTTTTTAGATTTCGATAAGAGAATTAAAAAGTTTTTTTTCCCAGCAGAATTAAAAATGACCTATGGTAAGGCATATATGTAAAGTGTCACTTGAAACATTCCCAATTTTTATTTTTTAGATTTAAGTAATATTAGTAATGAATTATTTCATGATAAGTGGAATTTAAGGTATAATTATTCAAGTAGTTAAAATGCATTCAAAATAAGTTAAATAATAAGAATATAAATATGACATTAAGTGAAGAATTTTAGAAAAGGGATAGAAAATAATGAAATTAAGTAAAATAGATAAATTATTTTTCACTTGAAAATTTTAATTTTCTGTATATTATTTATCAGTTAAGTTGAAACTTCTGGATTTTATAAGAAACTTTAGTAATTAAAAACTCAAGATTTAGAATTAAAAAAATTATAAAACTTTGATCACATCTATACAAGTTTAAGTTGAGATCTTACTTGGGGCAAAAAAAAAAAAAGGAGAAAAAGATACTTTTACAGACACCATGATCAAACTTGATAAATTGATGATTGTGAACTCGTTATATTGTTGGGTTAGAGTAAAATTTGATCAGCCATTTCGAAGCACCCAGCTCATCTCTTTCTCTCAAGTGTTGTAACAGTCAATTTTGTGTAAATTATTGGTGCATATGGACTTTTATTTTATTTAAATCTTTAAAATAAATGTCGACAACTTTTTTAATGGTACAGACATTTATGAATATGTCTGTGTGTTTTTTCTTTACTGGTACTATGAATGCTGCGTTGACAGTTATAAATTGCAATTGACATAGAAATTTAGAAAAAAAAATAAATATTTATTTCAAAAAAAAAGAGAGAGAAAGATTTAGGGAATAACCCGAACCTAAGCCCATATTCATGAGGCTATTAAGAGTTGGATTTAAAATTAAAAGTAAATTCTAAAAGAGACCAGATCTAAGTAGTGAACTCCACGTGCGTCCGCATTGCCGCAAGCCGGCCGGATTCTGACAAGTGACAAGGGCCACCCTTCCCTTCCTTACAGACTACATACATTATGAATGCATGGGCGCTTTGATTGATTCATGGAATGATTGAAGCATGATTGCATAATGAGACAACCATTTCGACTAAAAAGGTTGCACTTTTTAACTAAGGACTAACTTTGATAGAATATATTTTATTGAATAAATTAATAATTATTCTCAAGGCAAGGATATAATAAAGTATAATATCACATTGTTTACAACCCTCAACTGACCAGTAAAAAGTAATTATGTCATTAAGGTAATCACACACATATATTATTGGGGAAATTGCAAAAAAAAACCTTGGAATTGTAAAAACGCAGATAGGGACCCTTGACAACTTCACTTTGGGTTTTGACAAGAATAATATGCCCTGAAGTTGTCAAAACCCAAACTGAAGTTTGTCAATGGTCCCTATCTGCGTTTTTGCAATTTCAAGGTCTTTTTTTGCAATTTTTTCTATATTATTTCGATCTCTCCATGAGAATTGAAGAAAAATACTTTTCCGGTTCTAGATATAAAATCCATTGTATAGTACAAATCTGATATGATCTCAACAGTTTCCTCATCTAAAATTTAAATTATTTTTGCAAGAGTTTGTGAAATTGATATTATTCCTCTCGTCCTATAAAACGTACTAAAATAATTTAAATTTGAGATGAGAAAACTGTTGAGGTCATATCAGAGAGCACAGAGCAGAGAAGGAGAGTATTTTGGCTTTCGACGGCAGATGGTGACTCATGTCATGTCTCTGCCCGCTTACACGTCCAAATACAGCCACGTCCCCTTCTCTGCTCATTCTGAACCCATTCCCAAATTATTAAAGTACAGCACTTGCGATCACTCCAATTGCGGTGACTCCTCAGCACAGCACTTCCCATTAAATCAATATTTATGCCTTCTCATTCCCTTTGTTTTAATCATCCCCTTGGATTCCTCCTCACATACCGGCACTTGTCATTCATAAATGTTCGTCATTAATCAGTTCTTGATCTAAGGTCACAAATACATAGAATGAGCCCACTTGTTGTGTATGGCGGAATTAGTTTTACTAGTTATCACAATGATGAGTATCATGATACCTATCGTTGTGATGGAATTTAAACAATTCAAATACAATTTTAATGGTTTAAATTTAAAAGTTTTGATGTAAAAAACTTACCATTAAAAAATTGTATTTATTTTGCATCCATTAAAGAAAAATAATTTTAAAAAAAATCAAATATTAAATCTCGACCATTTATATTAAATTTAAATTGTTGAGATTTAACAAGTATCATGATGCTTATCAATGTGATCAGGACTGAGACCCATTCTTATGTTTGGCTCCATTGCATCATATACATAGAATTGCCTCCCCTGCCCTCCCCAGTGACAATCATATTCCTTTCATGGAAGCCAACATTATTCCCATCGTTTTAGCCTCAGACCCACCCAAGGCCAATCCCTTCCGTGATAGTCAAATTCTTTACATAATTATCTTTGTCTCAGCCTTTCCTTGCAGCCTCTGACGGTGACTCCTTTAATTTCTTGCAGACAAGTCAGGCTTAAAACTGCGCGAATGACTCATCATCCTGTTTATATATGAATTACTTGGCCTTGTAAAACAACTAACCATGTCTCTCACACATCCACCCCAAATAAAAAAATCAGAGTTCTGGATGCTCCATTCTTGTCATGTTCATCAAAACGTGTTCACAACGGATGCCGGCATATGACAACTCTGTATCAATCTACATACCATATCATGGTATAAACTGTGAATAATTCAGATATGGTAACACGGTAGATTTAGTTATTATCAAACTTTAATTTAAAGAATCAGAACTTCGATGTTTCAAGTTTCGCGGATTAGACGCTTTATTCCGAAATCTGGCAGCTCTGTCTCTGCGATTATTGGAATAGCAGAGAGAAACAAAGCCAGACGAGGAGTTAAATTTTATCCATCTGCGTACTATTTTTCTGACCTCCCCTCTATACAGAATGCCGTCCATCTGATCACACGACATTTCTTCAAACGAAATTAGGGGAAAAAATGTTATGGGAAAATCATAAAAGTCTAGTATTCATTACAAACTACCATAAAAATGACCTAAACCGAAGAACTATACCACTATATCAGAAGAATAATGCAATCGATTACAACTCGCGTATGCAAATCTCACCGTACATGTCGTCAGAGTAAACATTCCAGTTCCCAACTAAAGGGCATTTCATCGTTCAAAACAATAAATAATACTCCCACAACTAAACGATATATTTACGATGATGATATTAGATTACGCCGCTTCAGATTTTGTCATGTTTCGTCCCCCAACTCAACATTTAACATCTAAAAAGTGGATGCCCAGGCGCAGCCTCAGCGTCACCCGGAAGGACCCTGAACCATTCATAGTGGCACTTTTATTACTGACTCTTATATTTAATACAAAGACTCATTTAATTTTTATTTTAATTCTAAATATAATAACTCAATCTAATTATTTTGTTTTTTATATTTATTCATATTTTTCCAATACTACCTCCGATCGATCCTAATTATAAGAGCTAGTTGACTAATTTGAGAAGATTAAGAAAATAAATTAAGTTAGTTATTTGTAATAAATATTTATTGTCTTTCCTAAAATATCTTTGCTAATTAAGTGTATTGGATATAACTACTATTATTAGGAGGATTATCTTGGAAAAAATACATAAACATGAGAGACAAAATGGGTTGGGGTCTTATATTTAGGACCAAAATAAAAGTCAAACAATGTCTTATATTAAGGACCGAAAGTAGTATAATTTTTTTAATAATAATAGTTCTAATTAATACACTTGATTAGTAAGAACATTTTAGAAAAGATAATACTTATTTATTATAAATAAATAATTTGATTTATTTTTTAATCTATTTAAATTAGTTAAGAAGTGATATTTTCTGGGTTGATGGACAGTCTTGCCTTTTTATCTCTCCCTGTTATTCTCTCTTTTTCTCTCAAACGGCCGCCAACGCAGCACCGCGCCACCTGCTCCGCCCCACGCCACCACTTCTCTTCTTCCTTTCTCCTCCTTCCTCCTTCTCACCACCGACAATTCCCCCACATCAACTTCTTCTACGTGACCGTTCCTTTCATCTTTCTCCCCGTCTGCTTGCATGGCTTGTATGAACGACGACAGCTGGGTTTCTCTCCCCTCCATGTTAGCAGGGCCTCTGCCTCTCGGTGCCCGAGAGCTCCAAAACAAAACTGACGAACCCAACAACATCCGCTTCTTGTCTTCGGCTTATCGGTTGGAGAGAGTCTTTCCCGTATATGCTATGGGGACTCCCAACCCGGATTCTGACTCTGTTCTGGCCTCTTCATTTGATGACTCAGGTGGGGCTGACCCGATTTGGGACGCCGTCAGACAAGAAGCTAAGCTGGAGGTGCGCTAAAACTGGGCATTTGTGCTTGCCTCTTCTTCTGCTTCACTCCTATTTGTTGGTTGCATTTTCCTATTCATCTGTTCCACTGAAAAGTAGCTTTGGAATCGGAGGATTTGCTTGGACGTTTCACTACGTAATTCCATTTGGTTTTAAGATTTTACCTTGCATCTCATCGGGGGAAAACAAAAAAAAAATGTTGCGTAACGTCTTAACTCTCGAAGGAATCACCCGCATAAGAGGGCGCGATTTTAGTGGCGTTCAATCTAGAACTCCTGGTACGACAAGTTGATAAGCATACGAATTACTTCTAGTCCTCTAAGCACTTGTAATGTACTTCTAATCTAGAGCAACTCACGCAGTACGAGTTGTTCGAAATATGTTAAACGTCTATTTTGTCACGTATATTGTCCTCTATATATACTTGGGAGTAGGCACCATCTCGAGTATTTTTCTTTTTTTGGGGAGGAAGACCGGTCGATTGTAATCCTTATACATTGTTTATTTGAAATATTGGAATGTTCATAAATTCCCTGTATGCATTTGTTTTGATCAAATATGTATAGGTGGATGCTTCGTTTGGCATGTTTGGTGAGCCTCGGAGTATCTTTGTCTTTATACATGCTTATTAGCATATATATTGTGCAGGCAGAAAAGGCGCCAATTTTAAGTAGCTTTTTGTATGCCAGTGTTTTATCTCATGATTGCTTGGAGCAAGCCTTAGCCTTCGTTGTTGCCAATCGTCTCCAAAATCCTAATCTTTTGGCAACTCAGTTGACAGATATATTTTGTGATGTGATGATGCATGATAAAGGCATCCAAAGATCAATTCGCCTGGATGTGCAGGTATTTTTATGTCATTTTTCTGAGGTTTGCCTACACATAAATGTGGACTTTATCTCAATCAAATTCGATTCACGTGTGGTTCCAATCCTTCTACAGGCATTTAAAGACCGGGATCCTGCTTGTTTATCATATTGCTCTGCACTTTTATATATGAAGGTAAATCTTTCTGCTTTTGATGGTTATCATCAGTATATAGATATGTATGGTTTTACTGTGTAATTATTGATTTCAAGTCAGAGTATATACATTTACAAGGTGCAACTAACAAAGCTGCAAATTTGTTTCATGAGACAAATATTGATTTTCTTTGTTTCTTCCTTTCTTTCTTTTTTTATTGTTTTTGGTAAAATGAAGAACCATTTCCTGCTTATTCTCGGGACTCACTCTTGACCTTTTATGTTATGCTCTAACAGGGCTACCATGCTCTGCAAGTTCATCGAGTAGCCCATGCATTGTGGGGCGAGGGACGCCAAGTCTTGGCCTCAGCTTTGCAAAGTCGTGCCAGTGAGGTGGTTTTCTATTTCATTGAAACTAGCACAACATGTATAAGGTTGTTTCATATTTCTGTCTCTGATCCAGGATGCCATATTTTGGCTGCAGGTTTTCGGAGTAGACATACATCCGGTAGGCTGATTTCATTTTTGCGGGGACATACTTGATGACCTAAAACCATGTGACCTAATGAAATTCCTTCAATGTTTTGGGAGAATAATATATCTTGCTGGAATCTTTGCACTGAATTTTAACCGAATGTTGGGGGAAAAAGAATCATGTTGTGATTGCAAAGTACCAGCCTTTTTTTGTAAACAAAAGAGAGATGTTATGAAATAGAGTTTTGTACCCTTAATGATATAAATGAATGGATTTCCTCCATTTTTTATTTAGTTAGACTGCTGATTACTCGAGTTATGTGTTGAAGGGTGCTTGCATCTCTTTATTCAAGATATTAAAACGGTTTGAATATTGTTATTGTCGCTATTTACCTTTTTCTGGTTTTCTATATAGCTGCAAAAATTGGGGAGGGAATTCTATTAGATCATGGGACAGGCATGGTTATTGGTGAAACTGCTATCGTTGGAAACAGAGTTTCATTGATGCATGTGAGTGCTTCTTTAATTTAAGAATAATTTCAGCTAGTTTTTATGCAGACTTCAATTATCTTTAGTAAATTAGCGTTGACCCAATCTCTTGAAATATGTCAAGATTTCTTGTGCTGATAGAAGAGGAAAAGATGAGTTTCTTAAGAGCTAGGAAAGTATTTGGAATTTGGTTTCATCGATAGAAAGGGTTCTATAGCACAAGATATTCATTATGCTCACTTTATGACATTCTATTTTATAGGGTGTTACTTTGGGAGGTTCAGGGAAGGAAATAGGTGATCGTCACCCCAAAATAGGTGATGGTGCACTAATTGGAGCTTGTGCAACTATACTTGGGAACATAAGAATTGGTAAAGGTGCAATGGTAGCTGCAGGCTCTCTTGTGTTAAAAGAGGTCCCTCCCCATAGGTATAAATTAATTCCTTTTAAAATGATGTTTGGTACTTGCAAGCTTGCCGCTATTGGCTTCTGTCTGAATTGTTTGGTAATAAGAAGTGTTTTCAATTTGATTCCCTTTTTTGGAAGCATGGTGGCAGGAATACCAGCAAATGCCATTGGATATCTACATGAGCATGACCCATCTTTAAGCATGAAACATGGTAAGTTACCTTTGAGTGAATGAGTGGAATGGAAAATGAATATTGGAAGTAATATGGTTGTGGTTACCAATTCGTAAATCAAGAATTAAGCAATCAATTAAGGCTTAAATTAGGGATGTTCTTCATCATTATTCCTTCCTTGATTGCAGAGTTTCCAGAGTGCCTAGTCATGGGATTATATATTAGTTTTCTTACTCCCTCTCTTCTCCTCATTTCTATCTATTTCCCTTTATTTCATTCCCTCTTCCATATTGTTTCTGCGTCAAGGGGTGTCAAAGCTTAACTCCAATCCATGCTACTGTTGTCTTAAGGTTCTCAGAGTTGTTGAGTCGCTGAAAACTCGCAAACATCGTTGTTTATGCTAGTTCCATCACCCGAGAACACCAGAGACTAAAAAGTAACCATACCATGAGCAGCACCATCCCTAGATCAGTCTAATAGTAGAATCCCCTAGATTGCCCATCTAGCATCCATGAACCAGGATGATTGTGAATTATGCTTTTGTTATCATTTTTTCCATAATGGCACTGTTTCAAATTGGACCTTTTTTATTTTTCCCACACTTCAAACCTTTGAGGTCGATTTTTTTTTCAACGAGCAAATACTGGTGTCTAGTAGGAAGAGTGCCTTTGGAGTAACATGGGTCAGTGGCATGAGTAGCTTTTTGTTCATAAAAAATTTAGCCATGAATTAAGGCTTAAATTTGAGTACTCTCGGTTGCTAGTTTCTTTTACAGTGTATTTGGTTGGAGAGATTTAGAGGGGAGGGTTCCCTTATTTGGTTAAACAAGGTGAAGGGAAGCCCTTGTTTGGATTAAAAAAAAAAAAAAAAAAACTCTCGAAGGGGAGGGGAATGAAGAATGAAGTTTCCCTCCCCTCCAAAAGGCATAAAGCAATTGAATGAAATTTTCTCCCTCTCCTCTTTTATTATATTTTTCCCCTTTCTCGTGTTGGTTCTATATCAGCAAGCTTTTACTTTGAGAAATTCATCTCATCTCATCAGTGAGCTGCTTGGACCAAAAGGTCCAATACATTTAAAAACTAAGTTCTAATTTTATCAGACATATGGTAAACTAGAATCCTCTCTAAACTATATAGAACACTTGTCGTTAGTAAATTTGAGTATCCTCCTCTGGTGCTCTAACAATGTTTTGTGTTCTCAAGGTAGCTTTTACGAGCGGAGTTGATGGGTAATTAATTTTCTTTGTACGTGTGTTCTTTATATCTCTCACGTCATTTTGTTGTTGTAATTGTGCAGATGCCACAAAAGATTATTTCGAGCACATAGCTGCTAACTTCAGAGATGGAAAGTCTACTGGCTAGCTATCTTCACCGCCTTCCCTTTTGGATTCAGAAAGTTTACTAGGACTAGGAAACTTCAACTCTTGGCTTATAACCCGATCCACTCATAATATTCTCGGTGATTCTTTTCCGTTGTCCAAATCATTATCTGCCCAGCCCTTGATGATTTGATTTGAATGGATCAAAAAATTTCAGGAGCTCAGGATCCAGGTAGAAATGACGTTAGTACCTGAGTGGTTTGGTAGCATAGATCTCACTTGCCGATTCAAGTGCCAGCTTATTGCCTTGGAAGGGAGGACATTAGTTTCAAATCATAACAAAGATTCCTAATGTCAATTGGCAATATCATACTCCTCTAGTTTTAAATATAAGACCTATTTTGTAATGTAATTTTACACTACAAAATAGGTTTTATATTTAGGACCAGAAGGAGTATAATGTAAATTATATTTGTTAAAATGCCAAAGTCCTTGCACCAACAGAACTAATATCCGTAGTGGAGACTTATCCGCCTCTTTTCCTCTCCGATGATCCGAGGAAAGATATCAAGTTCACCAATCCAATAAAGTCGTTCAGTCATTTTGAAAGCAAGTCCTGTGTGGACATTTTCTGTTGAATTTGAATGTGATACCCCATAGATGGCATATAATGACGGAGTTTTTAATCAAGTAATTTTTAGTGTAAATTATTAAAAGGAATACTTCAAGAAAAGTAACTCTTTTTCCTTTTTTTTACAAATAACTAATTCAATTATTTTTTAAATTTTTATAAATTAGTTATTTAGTTTTTGTATTTGAGAGAGTATATACTATATTGGACTTGTTGATTTCTTTCCTTAGAATTTAGAGATGGATTGCCGCTTCTTATTTTATACTAGCTCTTATATTAAGGATCGAAATTATAAAGTTTAATTGAGCCATATTATTTAGAATTTTTGAATGATACAATGAGTTTGTTTTTAGGGAGAATCCCAAAAAAATATCTTTGAATTTTAAAATTATAAATCAGTCTTATTTAATACATTCTAATGATAATAGATAACATTTGAAAAACAAATAACAATATATTATTGTAGCTATTCTTGACTTGAGATTTTAAAATTTTAGAGGTTTTTTTTTTTGGATTTTTCCTTGTTTTTAATGAGAACATTATTTATGAAAAAATTTATAACTTTTTAAAAATAATTAAAATGCAAAAAATATTTCTAGTTATTCTGAAAATCTACTCTAGGTAACTCTTGAAAATGATCAAATATATGAAAAAGAATGTTTATAAAAATAACTAAATATTAATTTAAATAAAATCCAAAAACCAATGAATATAAATTTTTTTTATAATTGCAACTAAATACTCTTCCGGTTCTTAATATAGGATCAAATTGTTGAGTTGGTTTTGGTTTTAAATATAAGAATCATTTTTCATATTTATCAATTTTCTCTAAATTACCCTTATAGATAATCCTTCAACCATAATCAAGTAGAAGAGGAAGATGAGGTATTAAGAAAGATGATTATGGTATTTTAAGAAAAATGTGTCATATTTCTTATAATTAACTAACTTACTTAACTTTTTTAATATAATTAAATTAATTAAATGAATTTTATATTAAGGACGGAGGGGTAGAAGATGATTTCTTTTATGAAATCCATACACAAAATTACTTTTTCATTAAATTAAACCTGGAATAAACAGTTCCTGTAAAAAGTAACACATCCAACGGCTGGGATCGCCGCACTTCAGCGCACTTCATCATTCCTGTCCCTCGGACGATCGAAACGCGAAAATAACTACCGGAATGGCCGGATTATGTCCAAAACACGATTAACAGATACAGAATCGCGGGGATCACAGTCCAGAAGTCCAAATCCAGACGCATGCTCGGAGGAAATGCGCAAACACTGAGGCTGAGCTCTTGGAAACGGCAGCGTTTCTCTTTTTATTCCTCGCGCTTGAGCTGTGGTTTTAGTCTGTTAGATCCAGCCCTTCACCGGCGATCTCACCTGACCTCCCCCATTTCTCCACGATTCACTCTCCCTGTAATAGCATCTCCCGTTTGAAACGACTTGGTAGTGCATAATTGATTAACACTCGGTTTCGTAGCTCAGCTTCCCCACACCTTGGCTGCGGAATTACCAGGTACTGTGAGTTGTGATGTCTCTGTTCTTCAATGTGCCTCCTAATTGATATTCTTACTGGGCTATAATTGATTTACAATTTTATAACTTCAGCATGCATGCGAGAAGACAATATAATAGTGCGCTGATTATTAGTTTTTTTCTTGAAACTGAGCGCTGTTTTCCGTAATATCAGAGACAATGGTTGATTATGTAGCTCATAATTTTTTTGTGATGAAAAACTCGAGTCAGTTTTAGGGGTTATTACTACATATGTCTGCGGAACAATTCAAAGTTACAAATTATCAAAAACTGCAATACTGGGGATGATTTAATGTTCAGTTTTGGTGTTAAAGGTTGACGAAGAAAAATGGTGTTCAAGGGATTTTTTAATTGAGACAAAAATTGTATTTGCATATCAAAACTCGCTTTTTGCCGGATCAAGTAGTAGTAGAGTAAGAGTGTTAGTTGGCTTCTAATCAGTAGCCACTGATAACTCAAAATCTGCAGTTATGAGGTAGCTTCATGACATGTTATTCATGAAGATAGTTGGCTGCATTAGTTTTCCTGGTTGCTATGCGGTTTCTTCCATATTCTTTAAATATTCAACAGCCGAATATGCTGGGATTATGAATTTGTAAAGGTAGGTTCATGGTTGTCCAAGTGCAGGTTAGGTAGGAAAGCTGTGGAAACTAGGAGGCAGTGGCAACAAGTAAAGGTGATATTGGTGGAATTATGGAAAGTCGTGAAGGAGATCCTTCTAAACCTGAGGAGCAGTTCTCAGACAGGAATCAGCACAATTATGGAAGCTATGGAAATCTTGTTTTACAAAATGGCTTATCTCATGACAACCATTTTCAAGTTGATCCTGATGATCAGCTTCTACAATTGGCTTTTGAACTTAGATTTCAGAATGATTTTTTGAAGTCTCAGTTTGAGGGCTTTAACAGTCTCAACAGTGTACATAGTGACTCTAGTGTGGGGGAAAAAGTCAGTGGCCCAGAAGAAGTTAAATCTGATGTCATTGAAGAACTGCAGGGAAGGATACAAGCATTAAATAAAGAACTTACAGATGAAAAGCATACGAGAGGTGCAGCTGAAGAGGCTCTAAAGCATCTTCAATTGGCATACTCAGATGCGGATGCAAAAGCTCAAGAACTGTCTGAAAAGCTTGCTGAAGGTCTGATACTCGAGTAAAATTTGACTTTCATTAAATATAATTCTACTATTTATATGGCTACATGTTTGGCAGTGTGTAAATGAACTGAGTTGTTTGTGAAATTTTGGATTTAGCTCATCAAAATTTTGATTGTGCTTGGTTCATTTATTAAATAAATAAGCTCAATTAACATATTAAGCATGCTTAGTTTAATGAGCAGAGTTAGAAAATTTAATCCTCAACACAGTAAGTTTAAATCAGCTTGGTAAGTAATACTGTAATTTTGTAACTGTATTTGTTTACGATTTTATTAAGGATTATTGATAAACTTGCAAAATGATGCATCACTAGAACATTGGAATACATTTTATTATATAAATGAACAAACTTGACTTTCCCTCCCTGAAGTTTTGTATTTTAGAATCAAATAGATATGGAAAAAGATGCTTTGTGGTTGCTGCTGTCATATAGGAAAAATGAAAATACCTCTCTAGAGTGATTTAGCTCTATTAGTTTTAACTAAAGAAGGCCTTGTGCATTTTCACAAAGTTACTGTTCATGACTTGTGAATATATTCCTACATCTTCTATAAATATATTGATGATTGTATAAATGCATCATACACCTTCGTTTTCTAGCTGAAAAGAAGCTGGATCAAGAAATAAAAGAGCGGGAAGAAAAGTATACTGAACTTGATACAAAGTTTAACAGGCTTCACAAACGAGCAAAGCAGCGGATTCAGGAGGTTCAGAAGGTGAATCCTTGCTATTTTTCTTTTCTGATTTCTGAATTTGTTATTTTGTGTTTTTCCTTACCATTTTTTTACTGAATTTTTATATCGAAAATGTAGTGCCTTCAAACAATGATCCCTTCCAATCATAATTCCCGTGCTATTCTCTTAAAATTCATCTTTAAATAAGCATATTTTTGCTAGCTTGGTGCATCAACAGAAGAATTTTCTTGAAAATTTGTTTCATATTAATGTAGAATCTGAGTCCAAATTGTTGGTCGGGAAACATTGTACTTAGGAAAAAGATGATCTTGAGGTCCAATTGCGTGAGGTGAATGAAAAGGCTGAGCAAGCATCATCCCAGCAATCATCATTGCAGCAAGAGATAGAGCGCACAAGGCAGCAAGCAAATGAGGCATTGAAGGCCATGGATGGGGACAGACAGCAACTAAGAAGTGCAAATAACAAGTATGACCACTATGTTGCTCTTCGTTTTGCTGATTGATGAGGATATGAACTTTTTAGATTCTCATTAATCTCTAGGTGTGCAGTGGTAGAAACTGCGTTCCCATGCACTTTACACTTGGGATGACTTTGTGCAGTATGACACTTTATCTTAGGCAATACCTTATTGCAGTTATTTGCATTGCAGGGATCAGATTACAACAACTTCCCATCCTTTATCCCCTTTCTTGTTCCTGCATGTATTGATGCTTTCATGACCAGATTAACCTTTTGTTTTAATTCTGAAATGGGAGAATTCGTTCTCTCCATATTTCTCTCTTGTTATTTTATTTATTTTTATATTTATTTTGACATCTCAAGGTGGGAGGTGTTGAGTGGAGGTTCCAGAAAGTAAAATTAGTAGTATATACCTTATAATATTATAAATGTAAAAATCTGTGTCATCCAGACTTCGTGATACCATTGAGGATTTGAGGCGTTCATTGCAACCAAAGGAGAGTGCCCTTGAAGCATTGCAACAGTCACTTGCAGAAAAGGAACAGGTATGAAAATCCTATTTATACTTAACTGGTTAAAACCTTTATTTGATTTAGGTCTCCATTTTTGTGCGAACCAAATTTCTACCCCCTTCTTTACAGTGTTCTGGTGGACTGAGGGTTAGTGTAATCAGCTAGGAAAGATTGATTGCATAGCTATGGATGTGTAGCATAAGCTAACCTTTCAACAAAACAATTAATACAGGATATCCATTCATATATAGTTCAAGGTCTACTGGTCCCGTGTAAAGCATATTCAATCTTACACTGCTGGATAATCATTAGTGAATGAGTATTACATGGAATCAACAGTTGAATTTCAAGCGTGCACAGTGCACATATTTTTCTTCCATCTTTCTACTTTTAACATCAAACGTACTACTCTATATTAATGAACATTAATTATTTGATTAAATATAAAATGATGATATATTTTATGAAATTTGGGGTGGAAAGTCAACAAGAAAGTTTTTTACTTGTTTATACTTCCTTGATTTTGATGAGAATTACATTCTTAGTTATTGGTTGGAGTAAGTGTATGTATGCAGATTTTAGAAAACTGATGCGCTCACTTTTGTTTTATCTAGTTCAAGAGATATATGACTAATTCTGTGCTCGTCCTTTTCCCAATCCTGATTGTCTCATTTGAACCTGATGATGATATTACATCTTCTGACAAAGTTACAACTGCTTAATGATCTTATTGCTTTGCTTTGATCTTTTTGGTTAGGAAATTTCACCAAAAACTATATTGGGAGCTTTCCCAACTTCTGTATTAATGGATTTTTAGTGACTTTGTTGCCTTTTCACCTATCCAAAGGTTCAAACAATTTGCACCCCTTATTCAATTTTTTTTGCCAAATGTTGTGATATTGTAATTTCTTTTCCATATCATACTTTATCTCTGCACTGAATACAAAGGTTCAAACAATTTGCACAACTTATTGAATTGTTGTGATATCAGTTTGGAATTATATCTATTAATATGAATACAATTCTGTTCTCTGGATGTGTAAAAATAAAAAACAAATGAGAATTCAGATGATAGAAGATATGAGAGGTTTGCTTCAGGCAGCTGATGAAAAGAAGCAAGCTGCACTGGCTGAGCTTTCAGCTAAACATCAGAAGGTACATGTGCATTAGGTTTCTCAATTCTTGTTCCTATGTTCCTTCATGGTTGAATTTCTATGTCATATTGTGCGCTGTCATTTCACATTTTGTTTGTGCTTTTGCTTCAATTTGGTGTTGGTTTTCATCAGAGTACGGAGAGTTTGGAAGCTCAACTTAATGATGCTATATCTGATAGAAATAAAGCAGCTGAAACTATTTCCTCACTGCAGGTGAGTTTTTTGATTTTGAGGTTTTTAATCCTTTCGACACAGTTTACGGGAAAAAAACATACTACAGAATGGAAAATTATGTCTATGGTGCATGGTTTCTGATAAAGCTGAAGATTTGCATACTTGTACTACTGAAGTTGCACTGCATTTTCTCTTTCCTCATACTTAGCTCCTTTAGGAAGATTCTATTCTTGTCTAGAGGTGCCAATGGCTCGGTATCCAGCCTATTTTTGGTGGATTTGGGCTTGGAGATTGATGGTTGATTAGAATTTGGCTTGGTTCAGGTTTAATTTCCAAATTTAGGCCTTGAATTAAACTGATGTAGAGAATCCTGTTTTTCTTGCGCATTCCCCCATGATGCTGAGCAATTTTTCTTTTTTAAATTTTCTTCTTGAGGCATCTTTTTGTGTTGTTGTTGAATATGTGGAAATTCTAAGTTGCCTCCTCTGCATTTCGTGGTGCACCTCCTGCAAACGTATAGGATTTTTAGTGTTGTTATTTTTCATCTGATCATAATGATACTTCTCTGTTGACCCAAGAATAAGCAGGTGTTGGTATAAAAATAAGGGATTCCAGCTTTGTCACCCCTTTTTTGCACGAACCAGGAACCATTTCATGATTAGGGTTCATCAAATTGTTGGGCTCAATCGTCATGTTACTAAGCTTTTCCAGAAATCTTCGCACATTCATATAGGGTGTGCACCATCGCTTTGATAGAAATGGGCTTCCGTTGGAATTGGAAAGTCTGTGTGCCAAACATGGGAATTAAATGGTTCTTTCTCCATTTCCTTAGCCGCAGTTTGGTCATACCAGTGCCATGGGTTTCTAAGGGAATTTGGTACATGTTGTGTTTGTGTAAAATATGTTTTGCCTTAATTTTACATTCAACTGATATTTTCTCAGTTTCTGGATATTTTAATTTGAGACTATATTGGTAACAGCTGATTGAATTATCTTATCGTCCAGTAAGCACCTGAATAAACTATAATTCTTTTAATTTAAATGGGAAAAAAGTTAAAGTGTTTTCTATTTTGGTTACCTTTTACCAGTTATTTTATACTACCTTCAATCCTTAATATAAGAGCTAAATAACTAATTTGTAGAGATTAAAGAAATTAGTTAAATTGGTTATTTATAAAAAATGCCCTTTTTTGATCTTGTACATTAGGACTATCCCTTGGTGGAACCCCTTACAATCAATAGGGATATTTTAGAAAAATTATTATAAATTTGAGAGACAAAGTGGATAGATGTCTTGTATTTAGGACCAAATCCAATCTCCAACAAGCTTTTATATTATGGATCAAAGGTGCTATATTTTATTATGTACTCTTGTATATGGTAACAACTTCCAATTGATGACCTAGACTATTCTTAATCCAACCCCAGATGCTAGTTGCAGAGAAAGAATCTAAGATTGCTGAGATGGAGGCAGCATCAACTGGGGAAGCTGCACGATTCAGAGCAGCTGTTGAAAGTGTGAAGGGGGAGCTCTCTCACTTGAAACAGGAGCATGTATGGTCTAGCTTTCAGAATGTGTAATACTGTTTCACTATATTTTTTTAGCATCCTTCTGGGTCCTCTCAGGTGGCAAGAGTATTGTTTGTTCTATTTGGTATTCCTTCGATATTTCAACTTATTCTGCCTGCTCATTATAATGTCTTAGGCCAATAAACTTTCTCCTGTGGTTTCATGTTTTGGTGGGCCATGTCATTGACTAGAGAGATAATAATGTTCATACAAAATAATACATTCTTCTCTTCTCTCATATGCCTTTACTTGTTGCTTGTGTTTTGCAATCCATTAAGAATATGCTTGTGCAATCAAGGATGGAACTATCCATTATGCTCAGCATTGTCTGCCCGAAGTTAGATCAAGTTGATTTGGCCTGCCCTATGGCTTCTTTAAGTTGGTTTTCCTTTGTGGTATATAAGTAAATTAAAAATGGAAATATATAAATGTCTGGTTGTACTGTCACTGCGCCTGCTTCATTTTGTTGGATAAATGGTTACCTAACTTTCATGGCATGTATCTTCAGGAGAAAGAAAAGGAAAGTTGGGCAACTGCAGCTCAGGCACTTAAGGCAAAACTGGAAATTGCGGAGAGCAACTGCATACATGCTGAAATTGAAGTAGCAAAAATGAGAAGTACAAATAAATCCTTCTATGAGCTTTCTTAGTTATCTTTAGGAAAGATATTTATGCTTTTGTGATGGCCAGGCCAGCTTGAATCGGAAGTATCTGCACAAACCAGGATTCTCAATATGAGAGATGCAGAATTGTTGTCTGCCAAGGAAGAGGTTATATTTTATCTTCCCTCATGAACTTTTTGGTGGAAAATTAAACTTAGAAAAAAATCTGAATTGTTGTATGACTTGCGATTTGTACCAAGAGTGCTAAGCATTTTTTTAATGTACATCTATAGGGTTGGGTGGAAATAAGGCAGTTGTTAGATACTTCAGTTTTTTTTTTTCAAAAAAAAAAATTTATACTGCTTTGATTGAAAGCAGTTGATGGATACGTGGCTTGAACTCCATTGATGTTCTTGCGTGTTCCTTCCCATGAACGTGGCTGCTCCATAATTCATTGTTGTGTGCCTTTGCTGATGTTCTGATATGGCTTCAGTTATCTAATTCCTTTCTCATTTTACAAATTTAGATCAGCCGCCTTGAGAATGAATTTTCTTCCTACAAAGTCCGTGCTCACTCACTTCTTCAGAAGAAGGATGCAGAACTGGCAGCAGCCAAAGACTCTGAGCAACTCAAAGCTCTTGAGGAAGCTTTAAAAGTAAATTCTTGTGGCATTCTTTATGAAGGAAAAAATGGCTTCACTAATGAAAATATAGTTTAAGTTGTTTAATAATCAAAATCTCAATTTCCCACAGGAGGCTGAAAATGAAGTATTATCAATAACAGAAGAAAGGGACAGAGCTCTTCAAGATCTTCACGATGCAACAAAAATTCATGAGAAAGAACTCACAGAAAGGTTTCATTGTTACTGACTAATTATAATGGACTTGTTTACGTGATATAAAAAAGAATGTGGATGGGCATAAAATAAGAAGATTGATAGATATATAGATGACAGAGAATGGGGGCAGTTGTGGTTACATTATTCACAACTTACTGACCAATTTACTTTCCTATAACATAATCACCTTCTCATACTCCCTCCCCCAAAGGACCCCTTCTCTCAAGGGTCAAGTACAGGGAAATTAGAATACATTCTTCAAAAATAATAGAAATGGATCCGACTAGCATTTTCACCAACTTCCCTTTGTATGAAACAAAATGTAATATTCAATAGAATCCACTTGCTCAGAACTGTTGTATATCAAGAGCCTTGTAACAAAAGCATTTGTACAAATTTCCTTCTTTTGTAACTTCCCTTTGAACCCTTTGCAATCTCCTTGAATTGTTAAGTTATTTCCATCAGTTTCTGTCACCTTCACCTTCTCTAACTTGTCCATTCGCCATCTGAAATTTCTTGACCATTGGAGAGTCTAGACAAATATGGAGACATTTATTTTTTTCAAGCCTATCCTTGTTCCTTACTTGGTCTTCCTACTAATCACTGCTTACTATGCCTCCTTGGTGAATTTCTCTTCATTTTCTGGTTTTTCTTGATGGTTGTATGCCCAATCCTCCCAAGAACCCCTTCTTGGTACATTCTTGGACCTTTGCAATTCTCATTGTATCTAGCAAGTTGTGGGCCTTGTACTATGGTCGGTTTCCTTCTTTAATCTTCCTAGGCAGCAACTAATCAGCTGGGTCTTATTGACATTCACCTCGCTGGAAAGCTTGTTGAAGGCTTATTGATGTTCACTAACACTTTCTTGTTGTTTTAGCTCCATCATCTTCTCAATAGGATCTTTAATCATTTTGTGATTGCTGAAACCCCACCAAAAACATCTCCTTGACAAGAACTCCTTTTTCACACTTTAGGGGTAACAGCTATATTACTCACAACTAACTTTCCTACAACGTTATTGATTACTGTATCATAATACATTTCTATGACTATTACCCAGATGATGAGCATCTTAGTTGGAAGCAAAAGATGATAACTGAAGCAGTAGTAGCCCTTGCTTTATTTGATTGTTTGTGTTATGGTCAGGGGGAGTCGACATTTAAATATGACACGGCAGTCAGGGGGAGTCAACATTTAAATATGACACGGCAGTCAGTATTTCTTTTCGAAGTGCAGAGCAGTCATGACCTCTTTTATATGTTTCAGAGACGCAGCACTTGAAAATTTCAAGGAGCAAATGAAGAGTTTAGAAATGAAATTTGATTCTGTTAATGCTCAGCACCTAAAAGAGAAAGAAGCATGGGGACTCAGCCTTCAAAATGTTGAAGAAACATGGCGAAGTAATGACTTTTGCTTGGTCAAACTGTCACGTCTGGCTTGGATTTTTTCTTCCATTAATTTTTTGAGATGACTCTAGAAGGTTAAGTTGATTTAAATTTTTCAGTTAAATACGAGGCCATGAAGGGTGAAACTGAAGGATTTTCGGCACATGATATACAACTACGAAAGGAACTCGAAGAGCTGAAACAAAAGTACAAAAAATTGAAGGTAATTTGCAATTTGTTGACTCTTCTTGGACATTGTCTCCCCCGGTTTGCTGTTTGTTTCTTCTTTTCTTGTGCTTATTGGATCTATAATTTGCAGGAAGAGCATGATTCTTTTCGTGATCTTGCTGATAGAATGATTCAGGAGAAAGACAATGAAATATCTAGACTTTTAGATGACAACAATAATTTTCATCAGTCCCAGAAATCAAGCTCATCTGTATCTTCTCTTTATTTGCCTTTTAGCATATCACAGTTGGTCTAATACTGTTACTTCCTGATCTTACCTTTTTGTTTTAATTTTGCTAATGATCTCAGGTGGATCAGCATGATTATTATAGCTCAGGTATTAATTTATTTATGGGATGACACCCTTTGTTGATATGAAGATTTTCCTTGATCTTACTGCAAAATGTTATCGCAACTTTGGGGTTATTACTGACAGTTCATTTCTCTTCAGCCTTGCATAATGGGGATTTGCTGAACCTAAGCCCCTCATCTGCAGAACAGCAAATTCTGGTATGGCATTCTTCCCCATTTTCAACCTAATTCTATTTACTGCATTATATAGTGCGGTTGTTTCTTTCGACTACATGGGAGCATGGAGGCTTCTTGCAAACTATCCAAACCCTGCAGTGCAGCGGTGTTTGAGATATCATATATTTTAAAAGTTGTGTATATAGGTATGGTCTGTCTTGAGAGAGAAGGTGCGGCAACTATAGTAGTTGCCTAAATGTTGAAACCCTTATACCTTCTGTGAGAAGAGCAGGATAAGTGGGATAGAGCAGTGGCTCCTCTTTTTTTTGGGTGCTTGTTGGGGGGTGATTAAAGGAGTGGAAGGGAGTTATTGGCAAAAAGTGAGATTGCTCTTTTTCTAGCATGCGTTTGAGATCTTGGACGAAACAACTTCTAATTTGTTGACCTTGTATGTACACATTTGTTTTATAAAAATATTATCAAATTCTCTTTTAGCTATTGGTAGATTTTTTGAGGACCCATTCTTGCTCTCTTTTCCTTTTCTTGTTGGTTTTTTTTTTTTTTTGTTGATAAATTTCATAATTTCAGCTTCTGGCTAGACAACAAGCCCAAAGAGAGGAAGAGCTGGCACGATCACAGCGGCATATCTTGGCTCTTCAAGTATGTCTGGTCTCAAATAGGATATTCATCTTTGCTGTTTCTTTTAAATTAGTCACGAATATTGCCTTTATTTACAGGAAGAAATTGAAGAACTTGAACGTGAAAATCGTCTCCATAGCCAACAGGTATGAGTGTGTTTACATTTCTGAAGATATATGGCAGTACAAGGCCACTAGTCATTCATTAATTATAGGTTTAGTTTCCTATGATCCTTTGATCATGTTCCTTGAAAGCCAAAGTTTATAATGGGATTTTAGATGTGTATGGGTTTTCCTGGGAAAAAAATACAATGGATTTAAATATTAAGAACAAACCAGGGGGCCAATTACTCTGCTAATGGCAGTGTCGAGATTTGAAGCCTGTAATTCTTTGTTTGGCCTCTACCTTACTTGAAGAACTTCAGATTTTGGGTTCATGGTTTTTGACAAACATTCCCATCCTTCAAACTAATGATGCGTGTGAAGGTGAACAGTTTTTCATTGTTCTGTATGATGAGGAAATGAACTGGCCAGTCCTAGCAGCTAATTATTATCGTTAAATGAGTTTTATAGTATTCCTTATTATTCGTGGTATCCATGCAGCTGTATTGCGTTGTACCTGTATGACTGTATAATACTTTTTATTGGTATTCCATAATACGCCACTCTTGCTATTATAATTCCATTAATATCGCCACTCTTGCTATTATAGCTTTTTTTCTTTTTCTTGCAAATTACCCATATCGTGACCCTAGGAAGCAATGTTAAAGGCAGAGCTACGTAACACGGAAAGATCAAAAAAGAGGGAAGGAGTAGATATGACCTATTTGAAAAATGTCATTTTAAAGCTTCTTGAGACAGGTAGGTGCATTAAAGAAAGTGAGCTCTTTTTGTTGGTCTTTTTTAAACTTTTCAAATGAGTTTTGAGCATAATATTATTCATGTGATTAACTGGCTTGGACAGGTGAAGTGGAGGCGCTACTGCCAGTCATTGCAATGCTGCTTCAGTTTAGTCCAGAAGAGGTAATGTCGTCATCTTATGCTTTACTTCCCTTCCCTTCTGCATGGAATTGTGTGGCAAGCGTAGGAGATACGGAAATCTGAAAATTATTAATTAAAACTAGACAAGCATGATATTTGTGCGGAATGACCCACTAACCACAAGTTTGGTCTTCGAGGATCACTTCAAAAGTTTAAGGTGTAATTGTAAGGTTCGTGATGACTTTATTATGATCTCTGACTCGCCCTCTCCCAAGAAAAGCTGAGCTCTTCCATGGAAAACCCTTTGAGCTTTGAGTGTGGATGAAATAGGGGTCCAGTGTGCGATGCTTGCAGTGTTAATTTTTAATAAAGAAAATGACGAGTAGCAAAGATCAAACTCTTAACCACTTAGTTATACGGATTCTAATAACTTGTCAAGGATCAGCGGACCACTACAACTTAAAAGCCAGCTGTTGCTTTTAAGTTGTCGACGGAAGGTCGAAGTGAATTAATTAAGGTATTGATTCATGATTTGAATTATGAGTCACGCTCAACTAGTCCATTACTAAGTTGGCCGACTGGAATAGATGAGAGGAGGGATGAACAAGCGCAGAGCTAAAAGATGCGCTCTACGTGATGCGCTATACTTTGTGCATGTGATTCCTATTAACTCCAAGAGATGCTTTGTAGCCTCACAATGAGACATTACACTGGAACTAGGAAGTAATGTCAGACTTGAAAAACTCTTTGTCTCTTGGCCAAAAATAAGAATAGAAAAATTCTATTTGTCTCTCTTAAGATTAGAAGTTGAAGTATTTGTGCAACATTAAATTAAATGGTCCTTAATTTCTGAAAATATTCTGCATCACGCGTGGAAAGAAATTGTTCTTGGAATAGCCTAGTATGATCCCCTTTTTGCTCAGAAAAGCTCACCTTGCAGTCATGATATAAGATGCCAGAAATGATAAATCTTTAAAGGTTCAAAATCTATTCATTTATTTTATTGTGCGATATTAATACTTGATAAACTAGGAAAGTTATACAGTTTATGTTAAGCCAAAAGTTATGCTATATTGATGTGTGATTCAAATGCAAGTGCAGATGCAGAAGTGTCAACAAGCATATCGCAGCTCAACAGAAGTTCCACCAAGTCCAGGAAGTGATTCTTCGGGATCTGGCCTATCTCTTTTCTCAAGATTCTCATTTTCATAGGGCATAAGTGGGAATGCGAGGGAGTGCTTTGTTGTTGCCCTAAGAATGTCTGCCTCTGCCATGCAGCTGGAGCAGTATTAGTTTGCGTTACTCGCGGTTTCAGAGAAAGCAGGTTTGACTCTGTAAATCGTTATTTTTAAGTACAACCGTCAATTTTTTTGTAAAGATGCTCAAAAATTGGAAGCTGTGAACGAAAAACATCGAAGATAACATAATATACTATATACTACACATATCACAACAATGAAGAGGAAGCACTCGCGGGGAGGTTCATTCCGGCGAGGCGGTGACTGCCGAGGGAGCAAACTTTTAGAATTTAATTCTCGCCGTTGAGTCGAAAAGACTAACGGGCAAGTTTTTGATATTTTTTTGTATTTGTCATCGATCGAGGGCTCTCAGTGTAACGTGTACCCATGCAAATATAAGGAATTGAGTTCATGATTTTCTTGTTTTTAATGGTGGCCGTGAAATTTTTTTCTCCTCAATTGAAATAAATGATGGTCGCTGCATGGTAATTGGCCGCGGCTTGTATGTTATGCTGCCTCTGGTTATTGCTGGATGCCGTTTTGATCATTTTAGGTTTTAGGACAAAGGGCAATTGAGAACCTTGTAATGTAAAATTAAAACCTATTTATTATTCAATTTTTCACTTCAATGTTTTTAGCACCTCACTTGTTCATTTTCTTCCGACACATTTAAGGTGAAGTCAGTAAATAGAAGAATTCTGAACTCCATTGAGATATGAGATCCGGATGTGGGGCATGATTTTTTTTTTTCTCTGTTAAAAATATTTCACCCCTAACCTAGCCCTATCATAGGGAGAGACGTGCATTATATCTATTATAGGAGCTAAGAAGTTTGAGTTGAATCCGCTGCTGAACAGTCCATGCACCAGGAAGACGCGTACATACCCATTTTAGAGTTTAATTTCATGATTACACCTATTAGACTATTAAAGGGTGTGAATCGCTTTGGGGGGGGGGGGGTTGCAATTCTTTTTTTCACTCTTATTTTCATTGCTAAGGTCATCCATGTATTTTTACCCGTGTAGACATAAAAATTTATACATATTTCATATAAAGGTTTATTAACTAATTTGTAGAATTAAACAAATATGTAATTTAATCATTTGTAATTAATATATAGAGAATTTATTATTTCTTAAAAATAATTCTATCATTTAATGATTGACATTTGATAAACAGTGATGAAAATATCTAAATAAACAGAGGTATTAAGAAAAAAATTAATATAAGAAAATTGATGGGAGGGAATTTTTTTTTGAATAAAAGGACAAAAGGCATTATATATAAAAATAAAGTTTATAAAGGTTAAAATGAACTAAAAGGGAATGTTATTTATAAGCACTAAACTTTTCATACTATTACTTCCCTTCTTTTTTCCCATGGAAGCGTGGAAGACATTGCTAGTTATAAAATTATATTGAATCATACTATTTATAAATTTATTTATGAATTATAAAGCGTACGGTTTAATAATTCACTTTAAGATTTTATATAATGCAGCATTCTTTTATTCACTTTGGATTTCATGCATTGCAGGATAAGTTATTTTTCATAAGCCAGAATCCGAGTCTAGGATTAAAAATATAAAACGTCCGCAACCATCCGTATACATAAAATTAGATATTATAATTCAAATTTCAGATATTAAACAATAAACAAGCTTTTTTTTTCCTCTCAGAAAAATGATGTGAAGCTACCATCTGCAATAGCATAGACCCTATCCTCAAAACAGATATTTAATAAACCAATTATTTTCCTCTTTGGATAAACAAGAAAACCATCTCTAAGATAACAATACATTAATACCATCCACAATATTACTACGAAGTCTACTAAGCTTAGGATACAAAAAAAAGGGAAACAGAAAGGAAAAGATAAAAAAACGCATGCCGATCATCGGCAACGACTGGATCCGAGACCCGCCGAAATCTTAGGTACTTCGCTTGAATGTTCAATATAACAAGCAACCCCGACCGCTCGGATCCAACAAAGAATATCACGAAGCTCCCAGAGTGCTGACCTGATAGCAACTCATGTGCACGTAAAGAGCGATCCACGCAACCCCCCCCCCCCCTTTTTTTGGGGGGCGGGGGTATTGTGTTGGTCCTTCCGGTCTACGAGCATCTAGCAATCATCCCTGTAATGACGATGCATACACCCTCCCAGACAGAAAATTGGAAGAGTCAAGTAGTCATTATTATTGAGGAATTTTCAATCAAGTATAGGGCAATTAAAAAGGTTACGTTGCCGATCCTCAAACTTCTCTTATTCAAGTAACGCGGTTTCACCGTTAACAGCAGAAGAGCAATCTTAAACCTTTATTCATTCGGCCCCTCGGATAAGGGTGTTTTCCGACCTAACTTGGCACGTCTGCCTCTAAAGAGGGGGATTTTTGTCTTTCATCCTCATTTACTTTATTAACTCCGTCTATGTTGTATAGCCGGTCTCAAGCCTGGATAAATCAAGCCTGGATAAAGGAGGAGGGTTGTGTTAGGCCCTCGACAGCCAACGTAAAAACCCGTCGAATCTCATGAACATGGATCCTCGTTTACTTTATTGAGCTGAATACATTTGATCTTACATCCGCCAAACATACCTTTGGTAGAGGATATATAGCCAGCTAATGACCCAACCACACCTACCACGATTTCCTCGACGCCAAAATTCAAATCATCCCAGAAAATGGGGAAAAGACAATAAACCTACTAATGAAGATGACACTAAAGAGGTAAAAGAAGACATCAGCCAAAGAGTCTGACAAAACATACTGAGAAGAAATGGCAGCCTATGCATGCCTCGCCTGGAAATCCTTCATGAAAGCCACCAACTTCTCAACCCCAGCCAAAGGCATGGCATTGTATATAGAAGCCCTCATACCACCCACCGACCTGTGCCCCTTAAGCTGAACCATCTTCTCCTTGGCTGCCTCCTTAATAAAATCTGCCTCTAATTCTGATTTCTCCAGCGTAAATGGAACATTCATCAACGACCTCACAGACTTCTCAACCGGGCATCTGTAGAATCCATTGCTAGCATCAATGGCATTGTACAGAATTTCAGCTTTCTTCTTGTTCTTCTTCTCAACCTCCTTCAGACCCCCTTGATCCAACAGGTCCTCAAAGACCAACCCACACATGTAAATGCAAAAACAAGGAGGGGTATTGTACAACGAGTTGTTCTCAGCTTGTATCTTGAAATCAAGCATCACAGGAGTCACATCCTGAGCATTCCCTATCAGATCTTTCCTGATTATCACAATAGTCACACCGGATGGCCCTACATTCTTCTGTGCTCCAGCATAGATCACACCAAATTTGGACACATCCACTGGCTTTGAACAGAAATTAGAAGACATATCTGCAACCAAAATACCATTTGGATTCTTCGGGGTGGGGTAATCCTTGAACTCCACCCCATGAATTGTCTCATTCGCACATATATGCAAATACCTTGCCTGCTGGTTCTGCTCCAACCCATCAAAAGATGGAATCTTCGTGTACTTCTCAGGTTTGCCAGACCAAATCACATTGGGTTTGCAGTACTTCTGGGCCTCCTTGAAAGCCTTGTCGCCCCACGACCCAGTGACCACATAATCCACCGCATCGTCCTGCTTACAGAGGTTCAATGGCACCGCGGCAAACTGGGTAGTGGCGCCGCCTTGCAAGAACAAAACGGCGTATTCCGATGGAATCTCCAATAGGGCACGCAGATCTGCTTCGGCCTTCTGGATTATGGACAGAAACTCCTTACCTCTGTGGCTCATCTCCATCACGCTCATGCCGCATCCGCGCCAGTTGTAGAGCTCCGATTGAGCTCTCAGGAGCACGTTCTCCGGCAGCGTCGCAGGTCCGGCGGCGAAGTTGAAAACCGATCTTGGGATTGGGTCTGACCCGGGAAACGATCCTGGATTTGGGTGGCAGTTGGGGATGCGCATTTGATCGAAACAGGTCTAATCGGGGTATTCTTGATGGTGCGTATGAAGGTAACAGGAAAAACGTTGTTTTGCGTGATGTGGTTCCTGAGGAGGCAATTAGGGTTTTGGAGAAAATTAGTGTGAGGCGAAGTTGCCACTGACATGGTGCTCAAAATTTCCGGGAGAGGAGAAATGGTAAGAACAAAGAAAGCTGACGAAAGGCTTTTGCGCTTTTTGTTTGCTTTGGGAAAGATCCCAATGAAAGGAAGAAAGAGTATTATTGGCCCAAAGAAAGAGACGTGGGAGTTGGATTTTTTTTTGGAACTGGGGTTTTCTTTTTCTTTTTTTTTTCGGCCTTAAGAACTGGGGGTCGTTGAATACTTGAATTGCTTGCCTCCTAACGTCACACTCGAATCGGCGAATCCACGAATCACAGCAATTTCCCGAGAAAAACATGGGGTGGCTGATGCTGCCCCTGCCCCTCAGATCAGATCACACATGAATATTCTTCTTAATCCAAATTTTACAGGAGTAAGTTTGCCCTTTGGATTTAAGTTTATTTTCCCTAAATTTGTTCCTAAAATAAAAGATTCATGCTATGTTATATGTCATCAAAACTGGTTTGGGTGCTCATCTTAAATGAGAAGATGAGTAATTAGCGTTAATCTCTTTTAAACTATTCAGATCTGATCTAAATTAAATATTTTTAAATTTAAAAAAGTGATTGTCCTTTCTCCCTCTCCTATCCCTCACACAAACAAAACTAGATGTGGCGCTCACATGTAGAAAAGAAGAGCCAGGAAGCAGTTTGGGTATAGCCAAGTAAAGTATTTAGTAATCCCCAGCAGAGTTCACCAAAAAAAAATCTCCCGCAGATCCAGGGCTATAAACTCCTAAGGCATAAGTTTCATCAATAGACTTCAATTTGGTCTTTTGGACCAAAAAAAAAAAAAAAAAGACTTCAATTTGGTCAGCATAACGCATGCTTTGAACTTTAACCTTCAATGATTAGGAAAAGAAAAGAAAAGATAAGAAAAGCATAGCGCATGGGGCCCCTGGGGAGGAAGGACTTAAAACAAAACTTGAAATTTGGGCAATGGAAAAGACAAGTTCCTTACCTCTTCAATGAATTAAATTGTTCTATACCATCATTTCCATTATTTTGTTCAATGAGGGAACAAAAGAGATATAGTTTACGCTGCGAAAAAATAACATATGAGAAACAGAGAAGGGGAACTTAAGGAAGTTAAGACACCAGATATCTCTAGAGATAGAGATAAATTTCCCATTCCCCTCTGCAACCAAAGTTGCTGTTATGTGATTTTTGGTTACCCAATCAGCCCCCCAACTATGAATGAAAGTCATGTATTGTCGTTAGTAACTATAGATGGCCCTGCTAAAATTGGTTCTCCAGGAGAAAACTTGCCGGTTCACATTTTGCGGTGTAGCTGAACTTCGATGAGCAGTACTTCCTATGTACCCCTGTAAGCTTCCCTGTCCCTGCCTTCTGGTGGAAATCAACCATCATCCTTGCGCAATCTCTGCAGCAATGTGATGGAGAAGAATAAGATAACCAGATCAGGCTACATGAGTCTCGAATTGAATTGAATTGAATATACGAGTAAAATGTATTACAGCAACTGATCTTCCGAGAAGTTGGTATGCCATTCACATGTCTTACTCCACTGTTTGAAGCCATAAGTAGTACATTGAGCTGCATAGACTGCAGCGGCAGCTAGCATCGATGGTGGAAACTTCAACATCTCATATTCCACGAGAGAAAGCTCTATCAAGAAGAAAGCTGCTAGCTCAAGCTGTTTCATGGAGAGAAAATTTCACTATATAAGTTACCATCTATACAATGCGAGTTATTACAAATTACAATAAAGGATAGTTAAGAATAGGTAAGATTAATTAAGTGAGAATTGAAGTGTTCATTACTAGATTCTTCCATGGATTTTTTCACGTGAATATTATTCACAAATTCCGCATCACACTAATGACTCCTTAAAAGTTCATGCCCATAGGAAATCGCACGAGATGTATCAGGAAACAATACAGTAGGCAGAAAATTGAGTACTGACTTTCTTATCTGCTTCAGCTGCCTTCAGGAACCTCCTCATAAAAACATATGGTGTTGGCACCGACACGTTAAACTGCAATGTGTTCAGAATCAACTTTTCCTGTAGTGTTTAGCAACAAAGTGTAAGATTAACCGTGAAGTTGAGTGATTCTTCCACAGATGTGAAAACTAAAAGTGTCATTACCATTTCTAGAACTTCCTTCCTTGTGTAAGCTTTGTCTGATATAAGGATCAGATCCCCTACTACAGGCACAGAAACTTCCTCATACTTGCATGCCAAAAGCATCGCAACCAAGCCAACCAGCTGAAGTTTCTTTCTTATCACGTTCTGCTTTGCCAAAAACCTATCTATGATATTAACGGTAAGGAACAAAGTCTCAGGCATGAGGTCAAATTTATCGTGAACCTGAAACAATCAAAACGGATTTATCGTCATAAAATAACAAAAACATGACCAATGTCAGCTATTATGCACGTTAAATCATGCCAACTATTACCATTATAGGTATAGTGGTAGTATATACCTCAATAAGCCAGTCAATCAGTATAGCCCTCATCCTTTCATTAATGTCATCTTGCTGTGCCATATAATTAGGTGTGACACAGCTAATATTCTGCATGTAACTACTATTTGTTAGTTATCAGCGGTAGTTACGATTTCAGATTAACTAACACTATAATCAGTTTAAAATTATAAGAAATCAGCACTGAATTCCACTTTAATTGATGAAATTTTATGCTAGTTCAAGACAACGAATCAAACTCTACATGCCCCTCTGACGATCCAAATTAGTTCAAGAAGAATTGATTCTAAAAGCTGACACATGGTCAAGCTCTGTGCATGTATTAATGCTTGCGAGTTGTGACAGTAAAAATAGCGTGAAAAAGCAATAATAGATGGAAAAATCCGAAGAGAAGTCTCAGATCTCCATGATTTCATAATTAGCCTTAGTGCATTTTCAAGCATTAAAACGTGTCTGCATGATCAACTAGACGGCAAGTTAAAATTAATTGACATGCTAAGGAATATCAACAATGTCGAAACTTAGGCTGCATAGAAAATCAACCTGCTATCCATAGATATCGAACTAATGACGCATAGTGCTATCAATTGCAATATAGGGTTAGGAGATGGATACGCATTGCACTTAAAACTTGGTTTGAAAGACAAATAGCATTTGCTTATACCTCCATTTTTCTATAGTAGTCATGAAGTTCTTCAACATAATCTACCACAGCAAGGGGATTTTTGGCGTCACCAGAATCGATGTCCCCAATAGGCTCTTCAATTATGTCTTCCATCTCAACTTCTTCCTAACAAATTAAAAAACGAAATTATGACATTACCATTATCATCATTAATAAATTAAAATTCGAATCCAGTGGTGAATAGAAATACATACCATCTGATCCACTTTATCATGTGTTGATTCTGTTTGCTCTAACGACATAGGCACTGGCTGATCTGATGGCGACTTGTGTTCCTCGTCTATGAAGATGATATCTCCAAATTCATTCCCGTTTGAAATTAACGTATGTGGCTTCTTATTTTCCTATTCATTTAAAATGAGCCGAAAAACTTAGTTCCAAATACAGATTGGTCATCGATTTTATGTACAGAGAGAAGTAGAGGGTACCTCAGCGTGAGACTGTTGCGTGCTAGCAATTTGAGCCGCAAATCTCCTGAAATATAAGCAAATCAGGATAAATCGATCAGATTCAAATTTAAATGTAACATTGTTTAATCATTCCTCCTCCGTGCGCCTATGAAGAAATTAAGGACGTTATAGCTAAGAGAGCATAACGTTTTCGTTCCCCTTTTTTTTAACTTCCCCAGAAATCAAATAATTATCTGGAGCCAAACGATCAGGTAAACTGAAATTTTCCTGACGAAGTTCGAAGAATCAACAAGCCAAATTTCAAAATCTCTCCCTGCTTTTTTTGCCATCTACCACACAAGAAAAAGAAAGCTGAGAATTTCTTGAACGCCCATATCCTAACCTGGTGATCGGTCGATGCACTGGATCCGCCTGCTTCTTTTCGGAAATTTCATGTTTACTGAATGCACAAATGAAAAAGACCACACAGTTAAACTTTAAGGGGGGGGGGGGGGAAGATCCAAGAAATCAAAAGCCAAGGGCCGATAGTTAATCTTAGAATTAAAAAAATTAGATGAAAAATTACTCAGGCAAGCCCCTCTTGTTAACGACGCAAGGATACGCTCGACCCTCCACAAGACTCTGATTTATCACGCTTAAAGCTCTTCTGTTGTTCCCAAACTTCCTGGTTCCCATTTCTGATTAAAAAATGAAAAAGGAGTTAGAGCAAACGTCAAATCTTAAAGCTTTTAGCCTTTCAGCATCAAAATGCACTTAATCCCAAAAGGGTTTACCTTGGAAATTTGTGGGTTTGATTAGGTTAGGGTTGTTGTGATCGGGAATGACCATTGTGGAATTTGGCTGATAAACTGAACAATCACCCCCAAATCGACCCTAGAACAACTTGAACATCTAAAGCCCCCACCTCCCCAGACAGTCACTTCTCTCACTGCTCTGAGGACTGAAACGGTGGGTATTTGTCTGCGAAGCCTACCAAAAAAACCCTCTTTTATTTCAAATTCAACGGCTAGTGATTGGTGACCGTTGGATCATGAGGCTTCCAAAAACACCTTTTGCGCTTGTCTTAACAACGGTAATATGGTTGGCAGGGTCATGTGAAGGCACAAGTCCAGCGTAGCAGTATGGGATTTCAAACTGAGTTTTTTTTCCCTAAAAAAAATTAACAATAATCCAAATTCACTGATTGGTCCGTTCATGGTAAGTCAAAGGCGCTCCATTGCGTTTTCCCACACTTTATTCCTTTTTTGTTTTGTTTTTTGTTTGAAAGCGAGGGTTGGGACAGACAGAAAAAAGAGAAAGAGAGGATAAAAATGCACCAATTGATGATGAGGTTAATAGCAGAAAATGCTTATCATTAAAATGGGAGGGTTAATAAATGCTTATTTCACGGGTAACAAATCCAAAAGCCATTACCTTTTTAGATTCTTTTTTTTTTTGGTAAATACCTTTTTAGATTCTGCTGTTCTCATAAATTAGGAAACTCTCTTTGCATATTTGGTCATTAAAGTAATTATCTCACTAGCATATTTGGCTCATCAAATTTTAAATTATTTCCAAGTTTTGAATTAAATTGGACGAAATGTATATTTAAGTGCAGAAAATCAAATGTTTGTAAATGTTGTTCTTTCCTTTTCTTTTTTTCTTTTTTTTTAACAGTAATGACCCATATCATTGAACATAGAAAGCTATATATATGCTGTACATATGGATTGAATTTCCCAAATCTTCCTAATTTATAAATTTGTTTTCTTTTTTGTGTTAAAAAATGTCCTTTCTTAGTTATCTGTCTGCCATTTTAAAATTTCTTAATTGTTAATAAATTTAAAGCTTGATTTCTTTTTCTTTTTCCATTTCCAACACAAATGTTTTCTTGGTCGTCCCTTTTTTTTTTGGGTTACAGTTTTCTTGGTCATCTTAATCCAGGGCAAAAAAACTAACAAAATACAATTAAATATTATAATTTCTGGCATATGCATGTTTATGTATACCATTAAGGGAATAATTTCGATTGCTGTTTCTTTGCATGTTGAAGAAAACTGATCTGAAACTGCAGGATTGTCCAAACAATAACAATCATAATCTGGTCATAATCAATATCAATAACATCATCATCATCAATATGATGAATAAAAACTTTCAGCAATACTTGTTTACTTTTCTTTTCATTTTTTGCAAACACCAAAAACACTTGTTTAGGTACAATTAAAACAGCAAGAAAATGAATACTTTTTTGTCTACGTGAGATGATAGAATTTTTACCCTTCCAGAATGTAAATGCAATTATGTTTTTATCTATGTATATAATTATCTGATATTCGATAATATTATATTAAATTTAAACAAATTATTTAACTTTACTAGCAATCCATCATATTTATTGCTTGAGGTAATCTCATATGCTTAGCAGTTTCATCTAATAAGTGAGGCGTGAGAGTTTTATATGTGAACCTTTTGAGAATGTGATACAGTGCAATTTTAGCACAAAAAAGTCCGAGAATGTTTGGTTCAATTTTGAATCCCTTTGGTGCAAAAATTAAAAGGACCAAAATAATTTCATCCAAAATTTTGTTTTCCACCTTGCTTATTAATGAATAACCTGAAACTCAGATCATCAGGAAACAACTACCCCATAACCTGGATCAACCGTGCATAACCAAGTCATGTGACAATAGCAACCCGCAACCAAAATGACCATAAATGGCAACGGCCACAATTTTAGCTTCACAAATTTGGGCTTCAAACTCATCAAAGGGTTGAAAACCTGAAACTGAAGGAGGACATACGTGGCTTGCAAACTCAAATGATAGTATGGGTACGTGTTACCAACGCAGGCTTAATTTGAGAGAGTACGGTTTCAAAAGACTGACTTGTTATCAACGAGAGCTTATTATATTGAACTTATAAATTACATACACCATACTTATGAGGCTTCTCAAAATATGACTCATGACAGCATGACAAAAAATGGCCATGGTTTGCTCAGCAAATCTAATCTCCGCGCTCCAAAAATCCATGAATGCCACCAAACTTAACCTTGAAAAACGATGGTCTTGTGAGGAGCTAGCTAGAGTGAAATGTGCAAGAGTTACATATGAGTAATTAATGTCCACCATTAAGAAAACACATTAACCTTTTGGTTTAACAAAAATAAATCAGCACCTTTTCCATATGAGAAAGTTTAAAGGAAAATCCCCAAACAAAAATACCTCTAAAATTTCAAAATCTCATATAAAAAATGACTACAAAAATGTGTTGTCGCTTACGTTCCAAATGTTGTTAATTGTTATTAAAATATAGTAAACAAGGCATATTTGAAATTTTAAAATTTAAAAGTATTTTTTAGAAATTCTCCCAAGTTTAAATAAACATTAAGATGCATAAAATAGTTAAGATGAAATCAATGAATAACCACGATCCACGTGGAAAGGAAGGGGAGAAAACTTCAAATGTACAAACGAGCCCCGGACAAGTGGGAGGATGCTTTAGTTAGTTTGGTACAGGAATAAATCGGGAGGGTATGGTCCTGGGGGGAAAACAAGGAAAAAAGACAAAGAAAGAAGAGTAGCTAGAGAACCTATGATGGTTGGTGGATGAATTAATGGATTGATGAGGGTGAGTAGTGAATGATGAAACAAGTATTGAAGGGACTGGTGGATACCTCTTTCGAATATCTTTACATCTTTAGATTTCAATATAAGAGACAACTACCTATTATTTCCTGCAATAAATGACTTGTTTTGGGTTTTGCCCTCACTGATTTAGCATTATTAATGCACAATTCCTTTACAAAATAATTAATATGAATGTTTTGGCAAAAAAGTTTATTATTTTTAACTATATTTTAATTATTTGGTTTCTATAGTTAGGTCCAAGTAGAGCATAGACAAAGCTTTCCCTTCACAGAATTCATTAGACCCACTGACACTATCAATACACAAAACACAATTGAACATATACATGGTGCCTGTGATCTATCAATCAATATAATCTGGAAACTATCATGCCCACAAACAATTTATAGAAGCGAAAATATATTAAATTTATTATTACTTTTGTTCCGCAATCAACATACCAGCATAAAAATTAGTCGTTAAATTAGTATTTCACACCAGTAATGCTAATAGCATATACCATCTTCCATTGCGGTTTCTTTTCCCCTGGGTATGTAGGCTTCAGAAATTCAACAACATCGACTGGTCTCAATTCAAGCGAACACTTATTTGAAACACAAGCTATTTTTTATGTCTAGTCATTGGATCACTGAGTGAAGTTGTGAATGGCAATTGGCAGATGAGGGGTGAGAGTTAGTTAACTGTTATGACTCTCACATCAAGAGGTTCTTCTTTTAATAGGGTAATTTTTTTTAACTTTGTTCTTCTTTTTGGTCTATGCTCATCACAACAAGGCAGAGACTAATTCCCTAATTAAGATTCACATATTCTTACACTGCAATAACATTCCACCTCTATGTTGTGTTCTGCTTCCCAGAAAGGCCTCTGCGTCCCATACAAGTAAAGGGACAGTAACGAAAAACTAATTACGTTTTGATGAAATAGGAAAGCAGGATGGTTGCCCCAAAAAATAGTGTCCTTTTCTTTGATTCGTATTTCGTATCAGTGCCATATAGTCACCTTTTTTCATCAGAAGCAAACTAAGTTACTTTTTGTTACCCAAATAATGAATAGTAAAATTCATATGTACTGCTTCTCCTAAATGTTTAAAATTAATATCCTAGTGTTTTATTGTTTGCCGTTAAGTCTCTCCTTGTTAAAGTTGCCATAAAATTTAACGGCCTATGCCGTTCCTCCTCCTCTCCCCCCCTAATTAATTAAAAAAAATTCACTTCTAAAACCCCCCTTGAGCCATTTTGTCGTTTTCTATCCAAAAGTTCCTTTGTCTTCGCGGTCGCCTCCTTCGCTACAATGTCCGGCCGGATTCTCGTCCTTATGCTTCCGTGCTAGGTGCAGTGGAACCCCCCCCCCCTTTTTTTTGTGTGTGTTTTGATTGAGTGGTGAAGGCTTTTGCGTAATATACTACTTTGTCTTCAGTGCAAGAACTAACTAAAAGCTTGAATTTAGTCCTCAATACAATATTACCTTCGATCCTTAATATAAGACCTTATTTGATTTTTATTTTGATCCTAAATATAATATTCCAATCTATTTTGTCCCTCATATTTATTCATTTCTTTCAAAATAATCCTTGTAGTAGTTGTACATATTAAGTGTTTAATCAAACGGTAGTTCTAGTTAATAAATATGATTAGTAAAGATACTTTAGGGAAGATAATATTTAATTATTACAAATAACTAACTCAACAAACTTTCTTAATCTACTTAAATTGGTCAGCTAGCTTTTATATTAAGGACCGGAAGTAAAATAATATTATAATTTATTTTGTCTCTCAAATTTATAATTTATTTACTAAAGGTATTTCTATTAATTAGATATATTAAAGAAATTTTCTTCCATACATAATCATGAATAAAAAAACGTTTATAAATAACTAATTTAACTATTTTTTTTATCTATGCAAATTAATCAAAGCAAGTGGCTGTTATATTAATTAAGGATCAGAGGCAATATCGATGTAGTTACTGATTACTTGCAACGAGCAACCTTCAAAGGCTACCGTGTCCAATAATTAATGACAGAGTTACCTCCAATTCTGATGACAGGAGCTCATCAACGCGGCTCCATTGCCATACCCTGAGAGCATCCTTAGTTACGGTTGTCAACGAAGTCAAGGGACACGTGTCTTCGACCTTATCAGAAACTCTGACTGGTAAGGCATTTCTGTCTCTAGCAAGTAAATTGAATTTGAGAGTGATGAAATGGCCAGATTTTCCCCCCCTACTATTTATCCAGTGAAAGGAAGAAACTCACGTGTGTATCATATTTACAGAGAGAGGTCAAATTTACAACTCCATACTTACAAAAAACAAAAAAATTAAGAAAAATGATTAATTGGTGTCATTGAGTTAGAAGATTTCAACGATGAAGTGACAAGATATAGTTTTTTAAGTCCAGACAAAATAATCAGGATATGCAAAATTTCTTGTCACTTGCTAAGCGCCTTTTAATTGGCCGGGGTTAATAGCTAGAAGTGTAGAACATGGGATATGGGTGCCAATAATTCATCATGAAAAGAAAGGGGTGTGTCCGAAGGTATTCACAGATAACTGTATTTAAGAGTTATTTTTATCTTGTAAATATTTGTGAAAGAGATGCATGAGTATCTGAAATTTCCTTTTGACTTAATATCACACTGAAAGCATTAAAAAAATAATAATAAGAAGCAAGTGTCACATTTATTCTTAAAAAAAAATTAACATTGACCATTAAGATTTTCATTACTCTTTATTTTAGCACTTTTGAGATGATATTGAGGGAAAAAAACTGTTTGATATTTTTACTCGCGAATACCTTCGTAATAAAAATAATCCTTAAGTCAATTTTTTTCTAACTTTTATTTTTAACAGATATCATAAATTAAAAAAAAAAACATGTATACTTTTTCATATTCTCATTAGAGGCTTATTTAAGAAGACTTGGCCCACTTACCATGCATTATAACTAATTTTCCAATCAAACATCAACATTTTTTTGGCCACCACAGATATCAATATTTGAGCGTTTGTTTACTTCGTGATTTTTATTGGTTGGGGTTTTTCATTTTATCATTTATACTTAAACACAATGTGTTTCAATATACTCGTATTTGCCTTGAATAAAATATAACTAATTAAAATTTAATCGAGGATTAGTTGTACTGAATATAAGTAAATGGAATATTGTATCTTTTATTTAAAATACAAGATAAATTCTCCTCAAGTTTTTTATCAAAAATATTTTTATTTTGGAAAACTGTGGTAAAAGTTATTTAAATAGAATTGTTCTAGAGTAAATGGACGGATTGATTAATTAATTGAACAAGATCAAATATTGCGCGCGGTTGAAGAGCGTGCAAACAAAATGCATCGAGCGGATTCAACAGAACACAACAACGTCGGCGTCTGCTTCCGCGAATGTTAGAGGTTGCACTCGACAAGAGCCGGAGAGCGTGACACGCGCGGTACTAACGCGTGGATCTTTAGTTTCCTGGAAAAGGCCAACATCTATTCTTTCCCGGTTGGGGTGGGCTAAGTGACCTTCATCGCGCTATCTCTTTTGTGACCTCTCCCTTTGTTTTCTGAAAATAATTTCGTTTGCTGATCTTCCCCGTCTTCTTCCCTCATCCTCTTTTCCCTCAAATTCACCAGCTTTTCGCCCCTCTTCACGATTTCGCTTTCGATCATTCTAGGGTTAGGGTTTCAATTCCTTTTCTTCGATCTTCGGCAATCCCCGTTTTCTGTTTTCTACTTAGCTTATTTAATTTATTTAATTGGTGTGTGACCCGAGAAGCCTCCCGTCTTTGGGAAGGAGCACCATGGGAGGTGACAGTGCCGTTGACGATGCCACCGCCACCCAGTGCAAGGGCGGTGATGGAGTGAATATCAACGTTCGATGCTCCAATGGTTCAAAATTCTCGGTTCAGATTAGCCTCGAATCCACCGTCGGATTGTTCAAGGAACTTGTCGCTCGGAATTGCGATATCCCCGCCGATCAACAGCGGCTGATTTACAAGGGTCGGATCTTAAAGGACGATCAAATTCTGCAAAGCTACGGTATATGCGATCTTGCTAGTACTTGCATTTCTGGCTTCCCCCATAGAATTAAAATCGATTCGCTTTTTGTTCGGTTGAGTTGTCGTCTATGAGGATCGCTTTGCGTTCATTGTTGTTGTGAAATTATAGTCGTTTGATTAAGAAATCTGATTGTCTTCGTGGTATTAGTTAGTTCCCCTTTTTAACGGCAGAACAACGAGGCTAATGCCCAAGAGAAAAATACTTGGTTTCAATTTGTATTTGAAGAAATACAAGAAGATAATTGATTCCTATGGTTAAACATGGATATGAAATATATTTATGAATTAAATGGTTGAATGATATTTGGGTAAGCATAGAGCCTTTGTTTAACTTGATATCGTTTGGTACTTTGTTGACATATAATTGTTCCAGTAGTTTACTGCTGGCATTCTTCAAGCAATGGCTTATATAAATTGTATGATTTCATGGCGATATTCATGCTGCTGGTGATAGATTATAAGATCGTTATGCGATTGGATTGTCAAAGAAATTGACCAATTTCAAAATAGAGTTTGTGATATTGATGCATAGATATTAGATGGCAAAGCTTGCAAGAGAAATAATGCTTTTTGTTCTTCTAAGGGCTTGTTCTTTTACTTGGGAAAGATTGCAGTACATGGCTACCATAATTTGCTGGAAGCGGATGGTGCCTAATAAGTCGTGCATAATTACATATGGCTAAGTTTTTTTTTTTTTGTTTTTAATTCCTAAATAAAGATTGGATATATGTAGGCGCAGGATAAGCTTTAATAGGCTTTTTTGTGCTGGCTGATCGAAACTTCATGCTTATCCCTCTAGTTAAGTGCATGATTGAGATTTCACGTAGTCATGCTGGCTTACCCCAGTCGAGATGCTAGATTCGGTTCTTTCTTAGTGTAATCATAGAATGATATGACCATATTCTATTTTTTATGAAACGGTAATCACCTGGCCTTAAATGGGATTTAGCACATTGTTCTTTTCTATTATTATAGTTAGATTGATTTTTTTTTCTAATACATATAACTAATTTCTTGTACAATATTGAAATTCATTCATGTTACATTTTTATTTGTGGTCCAAATTTGTTCACATTATAAATTCGATCTTGACCTCATTCACATTAAAATTCTTCAGTTCTTGAGAAGGCATTCATGGATGAGCTAATATAACTTGATTTTCAATTCATATTTGTCAGGTTTAGAGGCAGATCACACTGTTCATTTGGTTCGTGGCTTTGCCCCTGCTGCTGCAGCCAATTCAGCTGGTGGGACCAACACCAGTGCTACAAATACCACAACAAATAATGCAAGAGGTGCTGCTAATGAAGGTGCGGGTGGGGGTCTTGGAGGCTCTGGTTTTGGGGATTCACTGTTTCCTGGACTAGGCATCAATGGGCTTGGGGGAAGTGGCGTCAATGGCTTGTTTGGAGCTGGCCTTCTGGATCCTGAACAAATGCAGCAATCATTTATTTCTAATCCCAATATGATGAGAGAAATGATGAACACACCTGCTATACAGAATCTACTGAATAATCCTGAAATAATGCGGAGTTTTATTATGAGCAATCCACAATTACGAGAGCTTATGGACCGAAATCCTGAACTGGCACACATACTCAATGATCCAGCCACTCTCCGTCAAACACTTGAAGCTACAAGAAACCCTGAGATCATGCGTGAAATGATGAGAAATACAGACAGAGCAATGAGCAATATTGAATCTTCTCCTGAGGGATTCAACATGCTGAGACGCATGTATGAAAATGTTCAAGAGCCATTCTTAGATGCCACAACAATGGCTGGTAATACTGGAAATGACAACTCTAACCCATTTGCTGCGCTTTTGGGCACTCAAGGTGGACAAGCCAGGGACCGATCCACTAATCCTTCAACTACCGGTGCTGAAGCTGCAGCTGGCTCTCCCTCCCCTAATACTAACCCACTTCCTAATCCTTGGACCTCTACTGGATGTAAGCTATTGCTATCTTTTCCTTTCCATCTAGCTCAGAGAGGCACTTTTCCCTTCTTTTTTTTTATTTTATTTATAATTTCTCCATTATACAGCTGGTAGATTCCTTTTTTTTTTTTTTTTGGGTGTTTTGGTTGCTTGTGGCAACTCTAATGCTGATTTATGTTAACTATTCCAGCTGGAGGTGCTCAAAATAACACTGGAGGGACAACTGGTGGGGAAACTAGGCAGCAGGCTCCCGCTGGTTTAGGAGGATTGGGGTTGCAGGATTATCAAGGTCTGCTAGGTGCTATGCCTGATCCCGCCTCATTGACCCAGTTAATGCAAAATCCAGCTATTTCACAAATGATGCAAAGTATCCTTTCCAACCCACAGGCTATGAACCAGGTATTTGCGTGAACCTTACCTACCTAATACAGGATAATTTATACATGTACGAAACTGACTTTATCATTTAATTTACCATTAGATTCTTGGTGTCAATCCTGACCAACGTGGCTTACCAGATCTAAATTCTCATCTTAGAGAAGTGATGCAAAATCCTGAGTTCCTTCGCTTGTTGTCTTCACCTGAGACAATGCAGGTAGACAGATTTTAGTTCTGCATCCATTGATAAGGTTCTCTGAATATTCTTTCCAAGGCTTCAATGCCCAAACTTGCTCAGTTTGATTAAGCTGTAATCTATGCATGTGTATACTGTGTGGTAAATTATAGGAGATTTTTTTTAATATCAAATTAATACTCCTCGCATCCGAACTTGTTGGTTGGAGGCAGCATAGGCCAAATTGTTGGTAGACCTTCTAGCCAAATGACGTTGTCATTTTGTGCTCTCTACCATGTTTTTTTTTACTTAGTAAAAGATTTGATTGTTTTACATGTAATGGGGTATGATAAAGAGGTGGCATTGCTTGCCTTAGTAAGTTGGTTCTTCGTTTCCTTATTCTTTTTTAATTAACTTTCTGACTCTCCGTTTATCTACTTTCACTTGCAGCAACTCTTGTCTTTTCAGCAAGCTCTTCTTTCACAGCTTGGTCGGTCACCGTCAACACAGTAAGTAACGGAACAAACTTCCCTTGCCATTCTCACATGGCATCTGGTTATAGCTTATAAGGATTGTGAGAGGAAACAAGATCTTCCGCCAAATTTCTTCTTAAACGTATTATCACTGGAACATTTCAATTTCTAAATCCTATTATCGGTTGCTGTAGTTATTTGTTCAGGCCTAGCATCCAATGCATATATTGTAGCTTCCTTGGCCTAAGCGCGTCTTCTGATTTTCCATAAGCAGTAGATTGAGCATTCGTTTTGATTACTTCAGCAGTTTATTATTATAGCTTGCTTCGTCTGCTATCGTGATTATTGGTTATCATTCCTGAAATGGAGGTTTTTGGATTTTTATCCACAAACAATCCATAGTAGTGGTTATTTTTATTTGTCAGCTGTCTTTTAAAATAATGTAAATAATAACTGAATGCTGATTCGTATGTGTGAGTGTGAAACCCCAAATGTTCGGATGGTTCAGCTCGATGTGATGAGTCTAGTGATGGTTTTCATAATGGTCGGCATGATCTGTTATTCTTCAGTATTATGTCCTGGCTGAAATTTTGTACTTACCATTTTAGCTTTTGCTGTGGGTCTGAATTAATATTGATCTGGTATGCTCTTGCAGGGAATCAGGTCAGACTGGCGGAGGCACTGGTATGCAATAATTTGTATCCTGTTTGGTTCTGCATAGAATGCAATGGTTTGTCTGTTTGGATTTGGAATATCTTGGAGCTATAGCTTTGCTTTGGCGGTCCAAATTGCCCTACCATTACCCATTTAACATCAATTTGGTTTATACCTTTTTGAGTAAATTCGTCAGTCTCTGCTAGATTACTTGCATTTTAATTTATTTCTTCTAACATAAAGCTTCTTTGCTTAATACCTAAAGGATTACATGCCTCTCAATTTTACTTGCATAGTTAAAGATTCTCAATCTAATTTTTTGAACATACCCCCTAATCAAAAATCAAAATGGTCTCTCCAGAAAGATATTGCGGCTCTCTTAACACTGAAATTTTAGTCTTGTTTTTGTGTTGAAGGCACCTGAATAAGGTCATATCATTAGTTAATACTTAATAGTCACTTGAGATCCTATTTGGCCTAATGAAGTCACTATTTTGATTGGGGATTAATGTTTAGGCGTCTAAATTGAGAGGAGAGTTATCTTTCATGGACTAAAACAGTAATCTACTTTATCAAGTCAGTTGAGGATTTAAGAGCAGGATGTAGTCTCCTGTTTCTAATAATGAGAATCAGGCATTTCTTTAGTGCTGTCATAGACAAGCACTTGGAATTTGATGGGGATAATTTGTAAAACAACTTTCTGTAAATGTCGTCAAGGTGTAACGTGGGACACTATTGTCTCACTTTGTTTGGCATGAAGACTGTAACATAGAGCTGAGACACTTGGTATATTACGAAAGTTAATGAAGCTAAAAGTGGTGTGATGTAAAGTCCCTGCTGTTTTTGAACAGTACGAGATATCATCCAAAAAGACAGTATCCTGCGCCTTTTAGTATATTGGGCTGATACGAGACATCTTAAATATATAGGAATTTTTGATTCTATGTAACATCCGAGATATCAAGTCGATAGTGTATCACACGTCACCTAAACGGCATGCATTAAATGTTTCTCCACCCATCAAAGAGTAAGGGTGGGTGGCCTTGCTGTATGATGCAATCTTCATTCAATTGCTAGTATAAAGCGCAGACTGGTGGAGATCGGCCTAATTAGTATAGAATGTTTTTAATGGCAGGAACGATGAATAACTCGGGGTTGGAGATGTTGATGAACATGTTTGGTGGACTGGGCGCTGGTAGCCTTGCTGTTCCAAACAGATCAAATGGTTAGCATTGTTGTCCTGTACTTTCTGAATGTTTTTTAGTACTGCTCTCCCACTTACATTGTTATCTTCTCAGAGCCACCGGAGCAAATGTATGCCACCCAGTTGTCACAGCTTCAAGAGATGGGCTTCTTTGATACGCAAGAGAACATTCGAGCGCTCATCGCCACTCAAGGGAATGTTCATGCAGCAGTTGAACGGCTTCTGGGCAACTCTGGCCAGTAGTAGATGACAACCCCTCTTGCAAAGGTCCATCACGGGGATGGCTGAGATTTGGTCTCTTTTGAACTCAGTTGGGTATAAATAAAATCTGAAATCCCTTTTTTAAAAGATTATGATTGCCATAGCTGAGATGTTGGTGTAGGAGGTTGTACTATTGGACTGTGATTTCTCCCTTTCCTTCATTTGGAATTTCGATAGCCCTATTTTTCTTCATCTCCATACTTAAAAAAGTATTACATTGTGTTATATCATTTGTTTGTCAAATTTGTCAAATTTATATTTAACGTATACAACCGCAGTGTATGGAAACGTTTACCCTTTCATTATTCCTATGCAAGCAAATGGTCATGATAATTTTCGAACCTCGTGTTTCGCCCTTCCTTTGACAAGGGTTAAAACTTAATTTTAAAAATTATTATTTTTAGGAGGATGCTTTTACTAGCGCAATCGTTTATTATAATCAAAATGCCCAAGGATGTGTTAACTTAAATTCTTGTTTTATGCAATTTTTTTAATCATTTGACAAATGTTAAACCTTGATACATTAATAGGGAAATAAGATAAATAAATGGAGGGCCTTGCTGTGCTCTGTGCTGTGTGCTGATATATTTCTTTCAGCGAGAAGCTGTGTACGGATATTTGAAGGGTGCTTTCTACAATGAAAGTTAATTGGGATGATGATTTTATACGAGATTTTAAGGCAGCAATAATTAAACACAAGCAATTCATCACACTAAGGGAAAATGAGAGGAGAGGAGGGGGAGGAGAATTTTAATAAGCTCAATTTAAAAAAAATTAAAAAGTGACACAATCAATTTTTATTATTATTTATATTACTTTTTTTAATTAAAATTTTCAAACCTCACTTCTCTAATTATTTAAATAGAACTATTTAAAATTTTCCTTTTCTTTTATTTCTCTTATACCAAACAATACCTTACCAAACAGTACCTTACGCCGTGCTTAGCATGACAGTATGACACCATGGAAGGGAAAGGAAAGTTGTTTTCCTGACTCCTTTTAGTTCAATTTCTTTTTTTAAAAAAAATTAGTGTGCAAATTTTTATAGTTTGACGTGATTTTTAATTAGGTTTTCATATTTTTTATTATACCATTAATTCTTATTAGTTACACTAACTTTTAATTAGCTCTCTGCAATTTTTTTTTCCCTTTTAGCCAAATTTTTATAGTTTTACCTGATTTTTGATTGAGTCTTACAATTTTAGGTGACAAATACATATGCACATAGTCAATACGCGATTTAATCACCTCAATCTCAATTACATAACCGGGCAGATTAATTCCATCAGTACTTACCAAAAAGCTACGTACAACACATTCGCCTTATGTGCTTTTTCCAAATAAATTTTAATGACCATGTAACCCCAAGCTAGACCCCTCATTTTAGCTACCGAATGAGCCATTTCCCTTGGGACGATGCTATTGTCTTGCATATTCTTTCCAGGGACAAAAACACTTCGGTAAGGCCAAGCTAATTTGTTCATTAAGGGTTTCAACCACTACGCTGGCACCATGGCAAGCTCTTTGTAAGCAATGATTATTCACTAACAGTGGACGTGTGCAGGGTTTTTTTTTTCCTCCAGAAATAATAATATTCAAAGTTTAAATGGCTGAATGTTCGTTTGAGGGGCAAAAAAAGCTTTCGCTCTATCATGTTCACTGAAATTGGTCTCTGCACAAATTTGTTGAGATATATATATATATATATATATATCCTGGTTATTCATGTCGACCATATAATGAAAGATTGAAGCCTATCACGCTCTTCGGATTGCTGAAAATTTAAAATTACTTATAACCTAAGGAAAATAAACATAAAAGAGAAATGAGAGTAAGAACCATGTACCGTGGCTGGGGTTGGAAAATGGCAAGTGTGGAGAAGTAAATAGTGGGTGGGAAGGGAAGAGGGGAAAAAATATTTTGGCGAAAAGAAAAATAGGGAATTTAATAAATGTAAAGAAAAGGGTTTGAATTGAGGCGGTTGGATTCGGAAGTGGCGGTTCAATTCACCCACGGGGGGTGATGAACCAATTAACATTCAAGCTCTCCCCTTAAAAGAGACCAAAGTAATTAGGAAACAAAATAAAATCCAAAAACAAGAACGGATCCCCCACATTACGAATGAATTAAACCAAATATTTGGAGACACTGTATATTATATTCTCACTCTTCCTATTCCAAACCATAAGCCACACCTCACTCCCTCACCTTTATCTATAAATTCTCCAACTCCAAGGCTCTCAATCATAGCTTCTTCAAACATCATCAACCATGCAGGGCCCTAGCAAACATTCCACCAACAGCTCTCCTTCCCCTTCCCCCTCCTCCAAACGCCCTGCCTCTCCCGCGTCTAACCCCCATCCCAATACTGATAATGCTGCCCAGAACTCCGCTCCTCCTGCTGCTCCCCCCGCCGGAAATAAAGGAAAAAGCTTGTCCAAGACAACCTTGAGGATCCGTAGGCAGGTTGTGAAACCGGCAAATGGGTCCCCTTCCCGTGCCGGCGCGGCTGCCTCACCCGATCAGGATTTGGACGTGCCGATTCGGGAGTTGATCGCTTTGGGTTCCGGCCAAGGTGGGTCGGAGGCGAAGGATGTGGATGAGCCGGTGAGGGCAGGCCGGTCGAAGAAGATTAAGCTCCATCTGAGGCTCAAGCCCGGGGAGGCCTCTAATTCACCCGGGAGTCCCATTTGTCTATTCTGTCTCCGGCGTTTCTCCACTCGGGCGAACTTGCTTGTCCATCTTGAAATGGAGCACCCTTCAACACAAGAACAAGATGACGACCAAACACCAGATCATGAACAAGGTATAATCAAACACGGTGCAGTACTAGCTGCTAGCTAGCTAGGATGATCCTACTTGCACGTGTTTTTGTTTGCTTCTTATACTATGCGCATATATACAGGTGCATATCCTGGGGGGGGGGGGGGAAGGTCAACAGTTTCTTGATCGATAGCCTCATCACATGCATGTATTATTTGATATTGATCTGAATTGCACTATGTATATACAATTGTTTCGCCTGCCTGCAATGAAATTAAGTTTTTTGAAGCAAATTTTGAAGAGATTTAATGTGTGTTGTTAGGTGAAGATAATGGTGGAGGAGACAGCGGTGCTGAGAAAAAGAGTGAGGAGAAGGAGGGTTCATCCGCTGCAAGCGAAGGGAATGATGGACAGGATCTGAACAAGCCAACAGAGGAAGTGCAGGTTTCTGCTGAGAAGAACGAAGAGAAGGGTACTTCCGGTGATGAGACAATTGGTGGCCCTCGTAAGAAGTTTCGATTTGACCTCAATGAGCTTCCTCTAGTGGATGAAGATAAGAACTAGCCCCACGTTTTACCTCTACCATCGATTTGTATGGTTCATGAAAGACTGTTCAAATAATATCCGACTATTTGGGTTCCATGGGAGTTGTCGCATATAATTATAATCCTGGGTTTGTTCCGAGCGAGCTAGCGTGTTGTTATCATATGTATGTCATGGCTGGTTTAATTTCCATTATATTGATCTTGGTTTTAAGTCGAGGTGGCAAAGTGATATAAGCTCAATTTTCTTAAATTACGCAGAGAGGAGAAGAGAGATCAATCAGTTATGCAGGTATGAGATGAGACAAAGTCTAGGTTGACAAAATACCTTAAACTATGAACTTTGGTTTCCTAGGCAAGAAACTGTGATCGCAATATTGTAGTTGTGGCTTGCAAGACTTGAGTTTCCAATTTTTAGTTCTCGGCTTTCTCATATACGATGATAAAGCACACGAAGAGCATTCATTGGACCTTTTTCTTTCATTTGAGCTTATTGAGACCATATATTTTCAAAGGCAAATATATGCCATAAATACAATATTTTATGCAACATACAATTGTGTGTAATAATTACGTACAAAGAGCGCAGTCTCATTCAATTGAAGTTTTTGAACAAATTATATTAGATACGATTTCTTATAGATTTCACCCGGAAGAATGAATGTCCCTTTATTCATGTCTTGGGAATAAGCATGACGGGTATAAGAGCTTTAAATATGTATACATGTATAGGTGAATTTTCTCTTTCTAATTTTAGCTCTCAAAATTATTAAAAGAAATGTTATTATAAAAAAATTCAGAAAACTCGAACTCCTATGATCTCTCTCCATTGTTTTATGTCCATGTCCATGCGAAGTTGAATAACGCGTGTTTTGATCAATGCCGTATTTCAAGTTATGGCACAGGATAATTAGGTCACCATTATTAGCGCTTAATCAATAATGGAACCACAATTATTGGTAAAGTGCATATGCATGCGGAATTGCAACTTTGCATATATGTGAACGTGTGTACGTAGTTGAAAATCCATAGTTTTAACACGAGACACTTGAGGCTTTTAGAATATATAACATTTTAAGTAGGATCTTATCTATATTGGTGAGAAAAATAATATCTTTCATATGCGCATGGGATATTCCTATTTCAATTAAAGATTATTGGTTCGGCAATTAAAAAAGATGAGTAGAGGATCGAACAAGCTAGTACATAGATAAATACACTTGTTTAATATTTTACGTAGGATCTATTCATACAGTAATGATATCAATCAAATTCACTCCTAAAAAGGAGTAAATAAAACATTCAATTGACGCTCCTATTCAGTCAAAGCAAATCGAGGCAAATTTTTATGAGAATATAATTAGGTATATAAATATAACTCTGCCATTCACGTACGTAATTATAGGAAGTGAAAATGTGAGGGCATCATCCTCAATCCCTCTCTTCTTAATTAGACTCCTCCAGGAATACATATGCATGAGAATCCCTATATTTATCGCAGGGTAATCCTAATAGACTAATTAAATAGTGGATTTGTCTACGATAATAGTGTTCCGTTCAACATTAAAGAGTTCGAGGTAACACTGGGTGATTTCCCCTTTTGGGAGAGAATAGAAGAAATGCACTTGCTTTTTTGAGAGGGAAATTAAACAAAAGCCGTAGAACTCGTATACATGCATGCACGTTCACATTCAGAATCTTCCCTTTTTTGTTTGATAGCTGTTTAATTATGTAAATCTTATACCTTAAATGCAACCAAATTAAATCAGGAGCCCGCAGAGTGGCCTCATCCATATTTCCAAGGCAGTATACTACACACACACACACACCCCAAACATGCACCGGTATATTATAAATACGTGTCACATGATAGAAAAAACCTAGACTTATGTTATACTGTACACATACTAATAAAAAAATGGTTCTTCTTATGGCACTTTTTGCAATATTATTTAGGTTCTACATTTTAAATACAATAACTATATATCATCGACTTGTGTGTGTGTGTGTTTTTAAATATATGATTATATGGGGATATCCGTGTGTAGAGGATTTCTATTTTTAATCGATTACATTTTAACAAGGGAAGGTGTGGTGTAATTTACTCCCCTGGTCCTAAATGTACGTATGAATATAAAACCAAGCATGTGAGGGCATGCCTCTCTCAAAGCTCAAATCTATCAACTCAACCATCGCCGGCGAAGGAGCATCAGATTGGGGAATATTTTGCAAGAAGAAAATACAGGTTATAAAACTACATGAGCTATATTATTATCAACTACATCAATCATGGCTTCTTTCTAAAAAGATAGAAACCAAGACAATGGTATACGTCCATCTCACTCATTTAGTCCCTCCAATCATTCGCAGCATCGCATTATATAGATTACCAAAGTTACGTGACCTTAGAACAGGAATATTTCCTTATTATATACTATTTCCGGTCCTTAATATAAGATCCTATTTGACTTTTATTTTGGTCCTAAATATAAGACCCTAATCCACTTTGTCTCTTATATTTACTCAATTTTTTTCAAGATAAGCCTTCTAATAATTATAGTTCTAGTTAATGCACTTGATTAGTAAGGATATTTTAGGAAAGACAACACCTATTTAAGACAAATAACTAACTTAACTTACTTTATTAATCTCCTCAAATTAGTCAACTGGCTCTTATAATTAGGACAAGAGGTAGTATATAGTTAGTTATCTAACACACATAAAGATGGACAAAACTATTCATCTATACAAATAAACTGTGCAAAACAAATCAGAATAAAGAAAAGCAATCAGAAATATATTTACGCCTTAACACTCGACCACAAAACCGCACCAACAAGCGTTGACTTTTTTCTTTCTTTTGTTTTCTGGGGTCATATTATGTGTCAACTTAAAGCAACTATAGACGTGGGCATTTGTTTCATACCATGATGTGACTTGTTATATATATATGTGTGTGTGTGTATTGATATTGATGGGTATTGTTGTATAGAAATTATGTTCAATATGCATATCATGTTAATTAAGCGTAGAAATTAACATGCATGAATAGAGATTGATATGAATGGTATCGTTCATATCCTCTAAATAATATAACTTCTTATAACTTTTATGTTCTACATAGAATCCATGCAATATTTGTAAGGACACTTTAACCTCAATTTCATCATGAACACTATCACCGAATCCTTCGAAGCATATTTTATGTGTAGGAACAAATAAGATTTTGTCCGTCCATAGACTAAAATGTGAAAGCGAACATAGATGTTGAAGAAATCAAGAAAATGGTGCATGGTTTTCCTTTCTTGAAAATTTACAACATATAATTCTTGGATCGTGGGTTCTCCACAATAGCAGGTCACTGATCCGTGAGGTGCTTCCACATGTGAATACACCATCATCGTCCGGCACTTGTTCAGCTGAACCAGTCGAACTTTCCGCCTCGCTGAAGTTGCGTTTGGATGTTACCTGCTCCGTTTGTTTCGGAGTTTGGCCATAGCCATCCCCGGCTTGTGATGAGGGCTCCAAACATTTTGCCCTTGTATTACTATTACCTTCTCAGGAGGAGGACGTAGCCAGTTTTTACGTACATCTTTTTGCCTCTGGATGTTGTTTGATTTCTCTCACAGAAAACTTTTTGAGTGTCAGGTGATTTTCTTCTTCTTGTCTTCTGCATTTTCGCCGAAATTAGGAAAGTTTGATAAGTGAATGGACTTCATTTCATGTTTTTTGGAGCGAAATTGCTTTCCCAGCTTAGACTGACTCAAATTTAAGTAGTTTAAGTACTTTGAGGTTAGTCCTGCCTCAGTTGATCTGGAACTCATACAAATCCAAGTAATGATCCATAGATATTGGATTTGTCAGTCATAAACTTTCAGCCTGAATTTTTGCTTCTGTTCCTTTTGCAATGCACATTTTTCTTCACTAAGTAATAAGTATGAGCGCATGTTTTGTTGTTTTCAGTGAGCTGGGATTCCAGTAATAATGGAGAAGGCAGATTTTGAGACAGATTCGAAGCAGAAGTTGTACACGAGTATGCGCCTTTGGGAATTTCCGGATCAGTATGTCATTGAGCCCTCGGATGGCTCTTCAGGCTCTTCATTGTCTGTCAGTCGAAAGGATGGCTCGATGAAGCTTATTGGTTAGCTATTTAGTGTTTGCTATCTTAGGCTTGATGTTGTACATCATAACATTTTCTCTCTCCGTTCTCCTTGTTTTCAACGTAGTCCTTTTACTTATCTATTGCTTCTTGCTTTGCCAGATGAGATTCCACGATACAACTCCCTTCGAGTTCCTAAGATTTGGCCAATTTTTGGCGTCGTTGGGATGTTGAGGCTTTTGACTGGTAAGGGCTAAGCAATCTTAGAGCATAGACACCTAAGCCATGATTTGCGGATTAATGTCAAAATTCATATACCATAGTGATAATTTATGTAAATTTTTCTTGTGCTAATCGTAACATCATGACTCATATCTGTATTCAAGCTCATTCATATATGAAGGAGATTATGGATTTTGGTGAGATTATCTCGGGGATCACAAAGAAACAAATATAAAATAAGATTCCAAGGATGCTTAAGGAAAGCTATGAATTATTTGCCGTCATATAATTCAGAAAGCGGTGGAATTAAACGTTATGTTGGATGCAAAATCGCTCGAATCTAGTTCAGTCATCATCGTAGTCAGTGCATTAGGTCCCCAGTTTTTGTTGTTGTTTGTGTTTATGTCTTTGATCACTATGGCGAAAGGTGCGGGTGTCCAATTTTCGGCTCCAAATCGGTTTTGCACACCCCAAGATAACAATATGATTCTGTAATGTAATTGACATGCCTTAACTTTGGGTTCGGATAATTTATGGATGCTAACTCACGTAAGGTCTATCACTTCAATGTTGATATACTTTACTCTGTGCTTTCAGGATCATATTTGATGGTTATAAAACAGCGTGAAAATGCTGGATCTTACCTGGGGAATCCAATTTTCAAAATTTCATCCTTGAAGACCTTTCCTTGTAATCATTCTCTTGAGAATACTCCTGCTGAGCAGGTAAGCTAATCAAAACAAAAAACACACACACACTCCAACAGAAAAAAATTCGATTTCTTGTCCTCCAGCTGTCTTGGGACTAAAGAACTGTTGAACTATCTTTGGCAGAAGAAGACAGAGATTGAGTTCTCTGGGCTGCTAAATGTTGCAGAGAGGACTTCTGGTCTGTTCTTCTCATATACCACCAATTTAACCCTGAGGTGAACCTCTTTGGATATTTTTGACTGTAACTATGACTGGAATACTGCGAGATTTAGATTCTCAATTTACTGCCTTGTGCGTATGTAAATATACACAGCTGCGAATAAAAGAAGGAAGCAGCGGTAATTCTGAGCTTGATTAGTAAGAGAGTGCAACATTTAAAGCTAATGTAAGAGACAAGTCTAGAACACCTTTCAAATGCACTTAGGATGATACTGCTTTAGACTTTGATGTTAAACGTCTAGAGCCTACTAAACCATACATGTTTGAGCGTCATCTTCAAATGCATTAAGGATGAAACTGCATGAGTCCTTGATGTTAAGTGTCTAAATCGTGCTAGTCCACACATGTTTCAGTGTTGTCTCACTTAAGCGGCATTCATACTACAATTTGAAAAGTACCAGCATATAAGTGAGCATGAAACACACATTATAATCTAGGGAGATTATGGATGTTTACATTTTAAAAGAAGAGCATATTATGAGGACGGGGACTCTCTCATAAGGAAAAAGTTCCTTATTTTTATTGAGAGAAAATGAATTTCAAATTGTGCCATTGGTATAATGTTGACTGCTGATATTATGCGCTACAGCGTCCAGCGATTGCATGAGCTGGGGGCTCAGTCTAGATCAGTTCCTCTTTGGAGACAGGTAATACGCCGTCTTTTGTTTACAGTTAGCCTTTTGTTTGAGATACTTCTATCGCTGGAGTGAAACGTGCCTCCTTCATAGTTTGTTCCCATTATTATCCATTGATCATACTTCTTGATGCCCATTTAGACAATGCTATTATGGATAGATTCTTTCTGCACCTTTTCTTTCCCTTTATTATTATTCTTATGCTACCACCAAATGTTTTGTCACAGGCAGAGCCTCGATTTCTCTGGAACAATTATATGCTGGAAGCTCTCATAGACAACAAGGTGGGCTTGTGGAGAAATTAGTGCTTGTTGCTAATGCTTCTCCCCCTCTTCAGTACCTATACATTTTATAATGCCAATTACTAATAAGAATGTGTTGTCCTGATGTTTCAGCTTGACCCATACATACTACCTGTTGTCCAAGGAAGTATCCTTATCTCAATGCTAAGCTGACCATTTTATGGTCTTTGTATCTCACTGACACGTGTTTTGTTGTTTGCATTTTAGTTTGACCTGGTCACTTAACAACTTATTTTCGAGGCTTCTCCTTAACCAATCATTAGGCTTTCATTACTTTCAATCAGCAATTGGGAAGGACATAATTGACATCACTTTAATTGCAAGGAGATGCTCGAGAAGAAATGGTATTTGATGTTTTTAAATGAAAATCCCGTTGTTTCCAGCTTGTCTCTGGTTTTGTGTGTTCCGTAGGTTTTTGAGCTTTTATTACTTACAGCATCACTAATCCTTTAGGCAAATAAATATTTAAATTAATGCATTTATTAATTTGGCGTTGATAACCAATAATGATAGCAGCAATTATGAAATTTTACTGTTTTTCCCCAGCATTTAGACTGGTAGCTCTTTCTTTTGTTTCATGCTAATACATTGACTTATTTTTTGAGATTTGAAATTTTATCCACAACTCTCTGTCAAAACTTTACCATTTGTGGCTGCTTAATAAAAGCATTAACATATTAAGAAGTATTCTCATGCGGATCCTTGTTGTATAATACTCTTAAAATGTTAGTTGAAAATTGGAATAGCTTCACTTTTGTGCATTGGTTGGTCAAATAATGGATTTAAATAAAAGTTGCATTTCATGAAAGGAACTCGGATGTGGAGAAGAGGAGCTGACTGTGATGGTTATGTTGCTAATTTTGTGGAAACTGAACAAATTATGCAGATTAATGGGTATACAGCTGCTTTTGTTCAGGTAACACTTTAAGATTGTCATGTGACAAACATACGATGGGCTAGCTCTGTCAATTTTTTTATGAGCTGGCTGAATAATTTGTCATTTTAATCCAGTATATTTAAAAAATGTTTCTTTCCTGATCTTAATTACCACATTGTAATTCCTTCAAGTTACTTGCACTGAACTTTATGAAGCTCTGGCCAACCATAGAAAAGCCCTTATGGCCAGCTTTTTGGCCTGTGGATAAATAATTACAGAACTTTTGGCCCTGCTAGTTAATGGTGTAACTAGGAGGAGTGACAAGGGAAAGGAATAATGTAGAAAGCCAATGAAAAGTGCTTATGCTTCCGTGGCAGAGGTATACAAATTTGAGGAGACAATATTAAGATAATTACCGATTTACTCCTGTCATCAAGAACACAAATAGGCCATTTGTGGTAAACAGAAGTATTACCACGCTCCAAATGCAATATGGCTTTAAGAGCATTACACATAATAGTATTTAGGTCTATATGACCTTGTCGAGTATGGGGCTGTCTGGAGAGAATTTTTCCCATGAGGCATCCTCTTAACAAGAAGCTGCGGTCGAAGTTTCTGAGTGGATGCATCTTTCATTGAAGTTAGATCAGTGATTATAATTATTTAGTTTATTCAGAAGTAAGTACATGGCAGTTTAGACAAAGCCCAAGTGGGGAAGCTGGGATGCTTGCTATCAACTTTGTGAGATGAATGTTGCCTGTATTTAATTCGCGAATGCTACCAATAGCATGTGATAAGATCTCTTAATGTTGTTCTTTGGCAGATTCGTGGTTCAATCCCATTGCTTTGGGAGCAAATAGTTGACCTGACATATAAGCCTAAGTATGAGTTGGTAAAAGTTGAAGAATCTGTAAGCGGTTATCAATTTTTTGTCTTTTTATGTTTCTACAGTCTAATACTTTGTTCATATCTGACTGCTTTTGTATTGCCTATGATGCAGCCTCGAGTAATGGAGCGTCATTTCATCGATTTAAGAAAAAAATATGGGGCCGTTTTAGCTGTTGATCTTATCAACAAGGTGAATATTCTCTCACTGCGTAGTGGTTTTTGCTATAGTATCGGGTGATATTAGTTTATATTATTATTTACATGCTGTGCGTGTTTTTATGAATATATCTTGCATGAATACATCTTATGCACCAGCACTTATATGAGTGCATTTTCCTTTCCCCTTTGAATCTTATCAGCATGGAGGAGAAGGGCTGCTGAATGACAAGTTTGCAAATACAGTGCAGTCTGTCATTAGCGATGATATAGGGTATTAGCTTTTAAATAGATGCTTTTTTTTTTTTTTTTGGTTTCGTTTTATTTGATTCTCTTGCATGTTACTTCTTTCCCTTTATGTTTTTTGGTAGATACCTGCATTTTGATTTTCATCACGTCTGCGGGCACATTCATTTTGACCGCCTTGCTATCCTGTATGACCAAATTTCAGATTTCCTTGAGAGAAATGGGTATGGATTTCCTTTATGTTTAAATTTCCTGATATTGATTTACTTGAAAACTTAGTTTGTCTGATGATTCACACTTGCATTGCTCCGAAGCAGAGTTATTCATGAACTTTTAGTTTTTCAACGAAGGCCAACAACTTGTAATACTACTTTTGTTATGCCGCCTAATGTTGAACGACCCGCTATGACATTTTGGATAATTATTAGTCATGATGTCAAACAGTTGTATCAAATGCTATCTGGCAGATACAAGCACCTGTTTCACTTTGTTGTGGTATATTTGCCAACATGTACCGCCAGCTTAATCAGAGTTGTAGATCGAAACCTGACCTGTTTGTTGCAATCCTGTTTTGGAATTTTAGTTATCTTCTGTTGAATGAAAAGGGCGAGAAAATGAAGGAGCAACTTGGAGTTGTCAGGACCAATTGCATCGATTGTCTAGACCGAACAAATGTGACTCAGGTTGGTATATACATGCAAGAGCAATTGAACAGAAAACATAAGAACTTTTCTCCCATGTTATTGAGCACACTCTAGTTCTTTGATGTTATATGTTCTACATTTACTTGTTCCCAATTTTTTTTTGAAAAAAAAGAAGAACTGAATATATTTGTCATATATCCTGTGACTCGGACTCCCCCCTTAACCCCCAAAAAAAGGTTCTGAGACTAGAGCTGGGTTCACTCTTAAAATTGGTCAAGTAGCTTTAAACCTAAAATTATAGTATATGTGCGAACATGTTATGTTGACATATAACAACAGCTACCGACATCATGATTATTTTCTAGTTGATTACGTATTGTTTCTCACATCATTTTCCTGCTTAACAATGTTTCGATGTGATTCCAGAGCATGATTGGCCGAAATACGTTAGAAAATCAGCTTAGAAGGCTTGGTGTCTTTGGTCCTGAAGAAACCATTAGTTCGCATCCAAATCTAGATGAAAGCTATAAGATCTGTGAGTAAATTATTAATTTCCGAGTTGTTTGTCAGAGTTATATATTCAATTTACTATCTTCATCTGCTACATTAAAGTTTGCATGGTTCCATGGATCATAAAAGCCCAAATTCCACTTCTAATCGATTCTCATTGATCAGTATGGGCTGACCATGGCGATGATATAAGTGTTCAATATTCAGGCACTCCTGCTCTAAAAGGAGACTTTACCAGGTATTTTCCCCAAAATCTGTCAATAGATTTCTAGGATACAAGATTTCTATGTTCTTCATGCCTGAAGAAGGTAGAGAAATTTTGCATCCATAAAAGAAGTTATATTCCTGTTCAATTTGCAGGAGCACGACATAATTGTTTAATCGTATTGCCTGAAATGATAATATGTTGCTCTTGACAGAAATAGCAGGTTCTACAATTTGTAGGAATTGAATTTGTTCCTTCATTTATTACTCCCATTTCCTTGATGAAATTTTATGCATTGAATTTTTTATATATATTAAGTTAAGCAAGTGCTTGCTTTTGCTAATAATGGCTTTAATCATGTAATCCATTATGTTCAATTATAATGGCAAAACTTGCTAATTTATAGTGATGAAATTATGTAATTATTTTGTACTTTTGTTGAATAACTTTCAGTCGGACTTTCTAATAACGTACAAAGATTCATTGATGTTGCTATCTTTATATAGAATGTAGCTTCCATGCTTTTCCCTACCACATTATTTGATTTGATTGAATTCAGATTTGGGCACCGCACAATTCAAGGAATATTCAAAGATTTTTGGAATGCTCTTCTACGCTATTATCTAAATAATTTTTGTGATGGAACAAAGCAGGTACTCAGGCTTCATTTTATACTAATCTTAGTTGTGCTTTCTCTCCTCTCCCCCTTTCTCATGAAAACACACATTATAGTTTTCTTTAGTTTGTGCTGATCATGAAGTTATTACTCTGTAGCCTATACTGTATTCTTGCTTTTTTTTTTTAATGGGAACTATAATTCCTAAGAAAATTTATTTGCTATTTCCTTGACCATGGTGGGGCAATTATTGTGTTATAGTATTTCCAGATCAAGTAAGTTACTACCTCTGGTCCTAATTATAAGAGCTAGTTGACTAATTTGGAGAGATTAAAAAAAAATAAGTTAAGTTAATTATTTGTAATAAATAGGTCTTGTTTTTCCTAAAAAATCCTTACTGATTAAGTGTGCTGGCTAAAACTATAATTATTAGAAGGATTATGTTTAAAAAAATTGCATAAATATGAGAGACAAAATAGATTGAGATCTTATATTTAAAACCAAAATAAAAGTTAAACGAGGTCTTATATTAAGAACCAGAGGTAGTAATATGTTTATATGAAGAACTTCTTAGTTTGTAAGTTGCTGCTGCTTTATCGTATTGCTGATTTCCTATGGATGTGAAGGATGCAATTGATCTCGTGCAAGGACATTACATAGTTTCAGTCAACCGAGATATGGCTCCCTCTTCTCAGAAAGGAGGCCTGGAAACTATAGCTGTGAGTATAAGTTCAATGGAAAACTTTTCTCAATAAACGATTGAGGCATCTGCTTTTGCTTTTGAATAGCTATCAGAAAGGTTACGATTAATAAATATTGTCCAACTTTTGTGACGTAGGACTAAGTACATATAGTTGATGGTTACATTTTTATTTCTATCAAAGAAAACTATAGATGACTTGAGTTCTGAGTCTTACTGCGGTTACCTCACAGCTTATGAATTGAAACTATTTCTTTTTCCTTTTCCGTTCCTTATGCAACAGTTTGTATGACTACTTGTTCCGGAGTTTATAAAATACTGTTCCTGTGCATACAGCGAAGTGGCAGATTGCAATAGGTATTGCGCGATAGGCATGAAACAAAATTACTTTTAATTTTATAATAAGAAACCTGATTATCCAGTCCAGGAAAAGTAAAGAGATCACATAGACTTGAAAGGCCAAACAACATTGCCTCTAGTGTTGAAATTCTGTTTTGTTTTTTCCTAACATTTTTATATTTTTTTGGTTTGCCGCTCGTTCACATTAGAAAGCTTGAAGTAACTCATCATCTGCATCCTATGCTATATTTATTCATTAATTTTTGCTCTTACTCCAATTTGAAGATTGTTCTGTTGATTTTTTCAGTCCTTTCCTGGGGCTTTGTCGCTGGTTTTGATTGGGTTCTTTTTTGCAACAATGTCTTTGAGGCAAGGTGCGTGAATTTTTGTTCTGTTAACCTAGGGATGTAAGTACACATGAAGTCTAAACCATATATACTAGTTAGTGCTTACATGCACTTGTATATGGACATTTAAGATATAAACAAAAGCCTACATTATACAAAACTCAGATGAACTTTGACTTTGGTCTAAATAACCTCTCTAACATCTAAAACTTGACAAGGAACCCCTTAAACCTTCGACCGTATGTAGATAATCCCCAGCTGTTAATTAATTTGTTATTTCACTAGTGGAGGGAGCATCATATTTTATTGACAATGTATTTATTTTTTATGCCGAAACCTTAAACTTTGAGTTCGAGCAAAAAGGCTACCGAAACCTGTGTGCACAAGTCCTTTGCCATGTGATATTGCGCTAGTGCAATAAGCGACAGACTAGCAGTAAGAGGGGACATATCTACATAGTTTTGGAATTTTAAGGGGATTCATACTAAGCTTTAAAGTTTAAGAACCTAAAATTTAGAGGGTTATATATAATATAGCCTAGACATGAACATAATATGGAGGTGAGGCAAAATTGTTAGGATGGGATAAGGGGGAGAACGAAGAAGCGAGTGCAGGAGATGGATAATGAGAAACAGAAATTAGGACAACCATTCAGTAATGAACATTAATCCATAATCTGACAACTAAGTTCATGATACTTTAACTTACTAGGCTACCGCGCTAATTTGATGTCCCACTTGAAAGAATTTTAGGAGATAACAATAGTGCCTTGACATGATCATGTGACATTAATGGAAGGCTATCAAATTTCTGAGATTTATATTAAGGATGTAACAAGTGATGCTTCCAACGAGAACTACATTGATCATCTCTTAAGAGGGGGAGAGGTATGACTGTTGGGGAGTAGTTGAGGGTGCGTGTGAGGAATATTTCAGTGGCATGGCGCTTGGCGGGGATAGCTGAGGCATTTAGCAAGGGTCCGTAACTATCATTCTTTCTTTGGCATGTGCATGTGCACCTTAATGTTAAAGAAATTGGATTGAGCCAATGAAGCCAGCTATGTCTATGGTACGAAAGAGCAACTTATAAAGTGGTGAAGTTGTCTAAAACCCACGGGTGGTAAATGACTATCTTATGTTCACTGTTTCAACAGTTCGGTATGATTTTCGGCACTTCTTCTTTTCGCTGATTTGGGCCAGCATCAGCGTGGGCATAGCAGCATTTGTGAGGGCCAATGGTCGGCTTTTCTGCAACAGACCTCGCCTGCTCAAGCCCCGGTGCTAGCTTATATGTACCATTCATTTAGAGCTATTAGAGGTGTTCTTTGACATATCCAGCTTCTGCAACAGGCCTCACCTGCTACAAGGGTTCCATTCAGATTGCTTTAACCAACGCATTCTTACATTAAGTCACTGAGAATTAATTGATGATAGTTTAATGATTGATTTAAATTTCGGTTGGCTGCTGCTTTGCTGGTGCCTCCTGCTATGCCATCTCACCCTCTTGTATATTTCCAGTTTTATATATGGTTTGGTTCTTTACTTGGAAGCATTGATTCTTGGATGTTTTGTATATGTTCATTCTTTTATTTGCAAATTTATAAACTTTCTAATTCAAGTGTTTTGTCGTTGCTGCAATAGAGATTATGGCTATTGACTTTGACTCGAGTGCTGCGACAATAGGTTCCATATTTGACTGGATTAAAGGTTTCCATTTATGTGATCACGTCTTGTCAGTTTGTAATGTGGTTATGAATTGCAACCTTCATTCCATATCTATTGTTGGTTAAGGTCTCACACATAAATTAAGGAAAAAGATCTTTAATTAGTGTAAACTATTATTACGCATGGACTACAGCACTCTCATTTAATTACTTAATTTAAGAAAGAGAAGGAGGCATAAGCTTAATTGAAGGAAAAGATGATATGTAGGGCCAAAACAGAAGTGATAAGAGAGATACATATTATTAAATGAGGGTATAGCTGAAAACAAAGGGATAAGATTTTGGATTTTTATAATACAAAATTTGTGAAACAAAATAGATAGCTTAAAACGACCACAAATAATAAGGTTTTGTAATTGTTTGCCTGAGCTTTAAAATCTTCTTTTTTATTCCCCCTTTTTTCTACCCTTACTCTTCATCAAGACCTGGGAGCATGATTTTCATGAAGGAGCAGCTAGGAGACTCGTATTTCGGTTGGTAAGTGATCTGAAAGTTGGAGCATAATAATGTCTTCCAACCCCCCCCCCCTCTTTTTCTTTTCCTCCTTAAATTTCCCGTTTGGGTCCCACGTTAAATTCAATCATTTTTTCTTCTCAACAAAGGAGTACAATTCAGTATGGAAAACTGAGCTGGGTGAAGAGCATAACCTTTTTACACCATTTTTGACACACATTTTTAGAATATGGTGAATATTTTAGATGGCCTTCATACGAAGCATATTCCACATCAGCTTGACTGACAGATATATGCCCTCTTATAATAGCATTAGGAGTCAAAATAACCTTCAAAACGTCCCCTATTCAAAAATTAATATCCAGGATTTGATGTCCATGCTCCCGCATCGACTCCCTGAGGACTCAGAGCTTACTTGAGGGGCAAATATGGTTATGTCGTTCTTGAGGATTTAGTTGTGTTGGTTCCATTGTAACTTGTTTGACTATTTCTTTTATCTACCTTGTATGTCTGCCTTGTTACCTTGTGATTGCCCAGTTAGCTAGGTTAATTTTGGGTACGGAGTCGGAGTCTGGCCGAGCAGGTTATGTCCTGGTCAGATCTCATTTTTGTCATACTGTTCAAGATAATAGTGAATATTCCAGGTCTCTGGCATCAATATCATAGAATGACATCTAATTTCCAAATGATTGTATTAATAAACTTTATTAAACACTGGCAATGGTAACACCACAGCCACACAAATAGTTAAAATTGTGTGCAAATATGTTCCAAGACTGACCAGAGAAAGATAAGATACCAGTAAAGACAAAAAATAGATGAAAGGGTAACAATTTTGCCAAAAGATAATCTACACTTTTTTTTTTGGCTACGAGCGTTAAATGAAGATTGCTTCTTTATCTTTTCCACATAAGAAAGATGTCTCTGAAAGCTCAGTACTACCCAGACCAGGTGCCGCAGGCCTATTTCCGGCCAAAGTGCGGCTGGCGCATACAACGGACAGGTACTAGTCTGCAAAAGAAGAAAATTGCCGAGTCTTGTCTCCCCAGAAGTTCGGATCAAGATGTCCGCGTCAGGTGCTACTGAGATGTACATATGCTTCTCGATGTCAACTACTTTTATAGTAGGAAGCTCACCCTCCTTATACCTAATCCACTCACTACTATCAGTCACCCCATTGCAATAATTATGGCGTTGTTTAATAGCATGTACAAACTGATAAGCTCTACCTCCATCATCTTTACCACCTTGGCTAGTACCACAAGCTTTGGCCTCATTTAAATAGTCTTTGCAAGAATGTTGATCAAGTATGTAAATGCTATTTCCCTTCAGACCCTCATCAATTCTTGTCATCACACCATTTGAACTCTTGGCCTCTTTTGATGCTTGATCTTCACTCCATTTATCCTTGCAGGATTCTTGAATAGCACGTACAATCTCATCACGTGAAGTATAGGCCACGCAAAGTAAAAGCACCCTCTGGTTGTTGTGAGCAGTTGCTCTCATTGCCTTCTCTACTGCAGCCCGGACTGGTTCGGTCAGTAGTTGCAAGTTGCCAATGAAATGTAATCTAATACCGTATTCGTTGATAATACTGTCTTCTTGAAGCAATTCCTCAATCTTTTCTTGCATCAAGTTCATTAGAGATTGAACCTCTTTTGGCTGCCTTTTGAAGTTATTAATGCTGAATGCATATACAGTTGCATACTTCACTCCCAATTCATAGCAATACCTCAGCATAGACAGGAGAGCCGAAAATCCAGCCTTACGGCCATCACCTTCAGCCATCTTTCTCTTCTTGGCATACCTTCGATTTCCATCCATGATGAAAGCAACATGATCTGGCACACGACCAACAGATAAACCACAAAAAATGCATCTTCTCCAAAAACTACATAAACTGCCGAACAACTGGCTTGCAATACTTCCTGTCCTTCTCTCCATTTAAATGGTTGACATTAAACTTTTAAGAAACCAACATAGGCAATTCAAGATACCTTCAATATCAGCCAGCGTTAGCAACAGCGAAGGCACCTTGAGTTAATGATCCAGCAATCTATAGATTAGAAACTGCTCAAGTGTTAATCTGCATTCTGAGAGAAGAAAATAAAAAGTAGGAAATAATAAGTGATGGAAACAGTCACTATAGATGTTTGTATCATTAATTGTTATGTCTATGAGCAAGAAGGTGCAAAGTCAAGACTTAAGTACATGCCATAGTTCATTCACCAAATAAATAGGGGTCTCAAATGTTACATATTCAACAAATCAATGAAATATTGCCCATAGTCCCATCAATAAATGATGGCTTAAGCCAAAGTTTCAACCATCATTCTGGAACTTAAGGCTTCAAGGATCAAGAAAATGAACCATGGAAAATGGTCCTCCAACTACCAGTTCCTCCACCAGTTTTCATTCGTAAAGTTAGAGTACAATCTTTAGGCCTTTTCCTCTTTCCCAAGGCAGAAGTGTAAATTGTTAAAACAAAGTCACAAACTACAGTTCAATTCACAAAGATGAATAACCTCACATAGTAAGAATAACTTCATCAAAAGCAAAACCGCAATACCCAGTTTATGCTCTCAAGAATTAAAACGGACTAACTTCTCAAAGTATTACCCAAATGTCAGATACCTTGCATCATGAAAATTTATAGTTCTGCAATGGTTTGGACAACAATCATTACCATATTAAGTACAAGGTTCATGCCTAAAGTTTCTTCCTACATCAATAAACAGTGAAATAAAAAGCACCACAAACAAGTTACCGCTTATTAGATATCGTAGCAGAGACATAAGAGTATTAAATATTAATCAAGAACACATTAACGTTCGAAAACAGCATATTGATATGTCCTCCTGACAATATTGGAGTATGAAAATTCACAATAATCATGGGCCCTCTAGGCTGGAAAAAAATGGCAGTGTAGCACTCTAAACCACTCGGGAAAAAGTGATTAAAATGAGCTGATATGAAGCAATTAATTAAACAATAAACAACAAACACCAAATCGGACAACTCAATCATATGCCAGACAAGCGAAGGAAAAACGTAATCCGAAATACTCAGACAAAATTCTAATGCTGTATTTCGAAGCTTTTATTTCTTTAAACTCATTCAAATCAGTCGCTATTCAATGCAACCAAGCGTGATCAGAACACTTGATAAATAGTGTTACTCCGTTGCCGCTTAAAATACGTGTGTGTGTGTGTGTGTGTGTGTAATAAGAGAGTTGGAACCATGCATGCTTTCAAGTAAATTTTCAGAGCAACCAATCAAAAGAAAAGAGATACCTCGCGAAAATAAGATTCAGATCAATGCTTAACTGAAAGACTGAAGCATGCAGGATTTCAGCAAGTTACCGTCGAACCAAGGAGCGTTGACCCACATAACCATCGAACAAGATCACTCCCAACGGAGACGTAAATGCAAACCCTCAATAGATATTCACCGATTTAATCAGAGATCAAGATAAACTGATAAAGAATACTTTAAGCGCAATGGTGGCGAGAAGAAATAAAAAGAAAGAAAAAATTGCGATGACCACATCAACTAAAAAGTAGTTATGTCTAACGAGGGGGGGGCATGGGGTTGACATTCGGCACCCAAAATAAGAACAAAAATAAGAGCCAAATAAGAGCAGTCTAAGAGCGTGTCTAGTTAAGTGGTAAGATCTTAAATAAACCTATTTAAATCTAAATAAGTGATTATGAAGCATGTTTGTATTATTTGGGTAATTTTTATAAAATCTCGATCGATCGTGATTTTACTCTTCTACCGCACTTTTAGGATAAGCAACAAAGAGTAACTTATGCGTTTGAAAAATCCCGATCAATCTTCAGCAATTAAATTTTTTCCAATTTACCCTCACACACTCTTTCAAAAATCTCTCCTCAAATATTAACTTCATACCTTTTTTAAGTAATTATACATCTATAAGCGATTTAAATAAATGAAAACCAAATATAATCACAATTCTTAAAATCACTTATAAAAAAAAAAATCTAAACAGTGTCACTTATAGCTAGTGTCACTTATAAAATTTATGATTATTTAAAATTACAGTTATTCACCACTAATCTAAACAGGTACTAAGCCATAGAAGCATGCAAAGGCTTTTAGAATTAAGAGTGGTGTTTTGTTTGGAAATATTTAGATGGAAATTAAACTATAGTTTTAAAAGTGTTTTTACGGTTTACAAAATAAATATATAGAAAAGTTCGTCTTGTTTTACAGAAAAATATTTCTTAGGAAGACTTTTCAGGGTTGCCAAACTCTTTTTTGGTCGAAGACGACTAGACTACTATGACACTCGAAGGCACGAAATTGATCCTGAGAATAACATGGGCCTAACAGTGCTTGTAATGGGCTGAGGCCTACATATATTGGGCCGTACAATGCCCAATTCTAAATAGACTGCCTTGCCTGTGTAAACCCAAGCATGTTTACTGTATTATTAATTTAATAATTTAATACTTCATATCTTAAAAATATAAAATCATCATACCGTTGTTAATATTTATGATGGTAAATAATTACTCGTCCAGTCTTTAATATAGGACCTAATTGTTAAGTTAATTTTGATTCCAAATATAAGATTTATTTTTCATATTTATCAAGTTTTTTTTCTAAATTACCCTTATAGATACTTCCTCAACCATAATCAAGTAAGTAAAGGAAGAAGGATATTAAGAAAGATTATTATTGTATTTTAAGAAAAACATATCATATTTTTTGTGATTAGCTAACATTTGTCAATTTGATTTTATTCTCTTAAGGTTTGATTAAAGAAAATTTTTTGCTTGGCTTTGTTTTATTTATTGATTTATTGATTTTGATAAAAACAATCGAAACAACTACGAGAGATGTTGGTGCAACTAAAGTTGAAGTAATTCAAAATAGAGCAACCGTAAAATCGCACGAGTTTCGCCTCTCTTTTTTTTTGGGGGGGGGGGGGTTTCGCTTTGTATTTTTCCACTTTTATTCTGTTCATCTCTTTCCAATTATATTATGTACGGTTACTTTGTAGCTTCCAGAAATTTAAATTCATAATAATTGAGCTCACTTTAAGTCCATTCTATGCCAATGGGATTCCATCAAAGCTTCAATTTCATGGACAGCGAGATCTTAAGGAAAGTCTCGTCTTGTTCTTATTGTTAACCTTTCATTTGATACATCACTCATTTTTACGCAGTCTCCACCCTGAACCACTCCAACAAGTGTTGCAACTATAATAGTACAAAATCACATTTGAAAAATCTAACCGCAGATACAGTGATCGTGATACAGAATATCGACCCACTATACAGAAAAAGAACCTAGTCCAATCGCGGCAGTAAAAAGGCTGGTTAAAATCTCCCCCTCCGCCCAAGAATAGAACCAACAAAGAACATGTATCAAGAGGCCGATTCAGCCAATTGTTTCGATCATACTACCGTTTAACCACAGTTTCAACCTCAGAATAGCTTGAGCTTCCTACTTTGGATAGCTTTACTTTGTCCCTTTTTTTTGGGGCGTTTGAACACTTACTTTGTCTTTGATTGTTCCATGCCTTCCAATTCCTCAACTACTTCTTTCATGGAAGGACGGTGTTTGGGGTCAGGTTGTAGGCAATTCAGAGCAAGCTTAGCTGCCTGTGATGCTGCCTTGAGTGAATATTGACCCTGAATCCGAGCGTCCATAATGGCTTTCAACTTTCTTTTGCTAGACAGATATGGCTTCACCCATTCAACCAGATTCTGCCGCCCACTGGGTCGCTTTGGATCAAGTGCCCTCAGACCTGTCAGCATTTCAAGCAGCACTACACCAAATCCATACACATCGCTCTTTACATACAAGTGGCCTGTTTATCAACAAAGGTGCAATCAGGGGCTATGTTAGCACACGTTGATTTAGAATGGATTATCTTAGCCTGTTTATTATGTGCAATTATAAACACAAGGAGAAATTCTTCAGTAAAACCACCAGCTGAGATTTATCGGTGTGTCATTGTATCTCATCATCTGAAGCACCCAATTAAGCTATCCTTCTAGCTTTTTGCACAGCTAATTCATAGATTAAATGTACCCAAACAAGCTTCTCAACTTGAAGAATCTTTTGGGAGCACTGAATGTCTAATTTTTTAGTTATAAAACCCCGTTAAAAGCTGAAAACAATCAAGACTCAAGACAAACGAGATGCGCAAAGTTACTCTCTCAATCAGGCGTTAATGTATTTACCTGTAGCAACATATTCTGGAGCAGCATAACCATAAGTGCCCATAACCCTAGTTGTAACATGTGATTCTCCACCTAACGGCCCCAATTTCGCCAAGCCAAAGTCAGAAATTTTTGCATTATAATTCTGTAGGAGACAAAAGAATCTGATTAGTAATCTGACCTGTGATAAGGAGAGACCGTTAATTTTCTTACTCAAAACAGTGTCCACAACGTCAATTTCTATACTTCAACAGGTCAACAGGCCTAACATTAACGATCCTTTAAACAACCTCGTGGGGGAATATTTTAATCATACACTAGGAAGTTTCCATATAAGTACATCATAAGTCTGGCTCCGAGAAAATATAAAGGAATTTGGAGTAAGGTACATGCCACTCATCCCAAGGTAACACTATATTTTCCATCTTCCATCTTAATAATGAGGGAAGGTGCTGATTAAGACAAACATTAAGAGGCCACCTAGCAAAAGAATAACTAACCCCATCAAGTAGTATATTTGAGGCCTTGAAATCTCTGTATATCACTTGCTTTTCTGATGCGTGCAAAAAGGCAAGGCCTCGAGCTGCACCAATAGCTATTTTGAGTCGCATGTTCCACGAAAGTGGTTCAATGTTAGAAATTCCTGCTCAGAGACAAAAAGAAAAAGAAAACAAATTAAACTCAAATGTAGGGCCAAGCTTTTTCTTTCCCCACTTATTTTATGTATTTCGGTCTTCAGTTCATACTTCTGAAGAGATGATTCTCCAAACTGCCCTTTGGCATGAACTCATACACAAGCAGCAGCTCCTCAGCATCCCAACAGTAACCCAATAGCTTGACCAAGTTGGGATGAGAAAGCCTTCCCAAGAAATTGACTTCTGACTGTGGTATCAGAGCAAAAGAACAACACATCAACATATTATTTCACGAAGTATGATACCTTTTCTGAAAATTGTACCAAATTAGTGGGATTTATCTCACGGTGGGTACAGGAAATGCAACATGACAACTAAAATCAAGATGCACACCAGTTATTGACAAATATTAAAGCTTCACCAAGAACTAAGTCATTCATCAGGGATTAGTTTTCCAATCAACTGGTACCATATCAAATGCCCTCTTACTTATTTTGTGTTCTTTAAGCATGAATCATGCTTCACTGTGACCTAGGGAACCGAACCAAACCAACAAATACACTCACTACAACAAAGGTTATATCAACTTTAACTATTCCATCAAGGTTGGAGAAGGTTATGAAAATGTTTATCATTAGCTCACTATCCTTACATTTTTCTTATAACAAATAAACCTGGAGTCCTGGACACGAAATTCTACCAAAAATGCTGCACTGCTGCAAATGACCATGCTGCTTCATTAGGCACACAGGTCAGGGACGGCAGGTTCAATGAGAAGCTTCCATTCGTTATGTGCTATGTTTTAAAAATTGGGAATTTTTTTTTTGGGGGGGTTAAATTTTTGAGCAATTTCCATTCTATCATGATTGGGTTTTATTTTAATTAAGCATCAATTAGTTTGTTGTCTCCTATTTGGACTAGGACACGACTATTCACTTGATAAATGTAGGTGTCATGTTTGTACTAATATTAAGCAATAATACAGAGATTGCCTTCCTTCCATCCATCCCTCCCCCCCCCCCCCCTTCTTTTCCCTTTTTCACGATATCAAAGCTTGAAAGAACTGATGATCACCTTCATCTCATTTAGAGCTCCGAATGTAGAGGCCAGCTTAGCGCCCTCTTCAACCATCATGCCAAGAAGCTGCGGTAGTGCTCCAGCAGCTCAGGCCTCTGCCAAAATCACCCCTATGTATATTTTAAGGTGGTGGAAGAAAGATTATCTTACTGGAGAAGTAAGAAAGCCAGAAATGACAACTCAAAGTATGAGTTTCAGAAAACAACACCATCATGTCACGGCTAGTCAACTCTGACAACTATTATATATCAATATATTGCCTGAAAACATTATAGAGTTTACCCTCCTCAGCAAAAACTACATGAAACTTGCACTCACAATTCAGCCATAAGCACATTTCCTCATAAAATATTTTACTGTACGCCCCTAGTTCATGATGACATTGACCATGGTAGGCCTTTGGTTTTGTTGTCGCTGTCCTGGATCTACTATATGAATATCCCTTGGCTGTTCTCCCACTCAAAAAGGGTAATGCTACTCACCACATCTAAGAAATTCTATATTAACATGAATGGTGCATTTTTTAAGAATACATCTTTCTATGGTTAAACGCCCATTGAGGGGGAGAATGAGAACACTTAAGAATGGGAGTTCGTGAGTGATTTCAGTCCTATACAGCGGACTCTAACCTCCTATAGTCCAGAACTTGATTTGGATATATCTGAGATTCAACTCAATGCTCAACTTGATGTGATGGAAAAGGCCAGACAGAATACTAACTACCAAAACTACTCAATAAAGGAAGAATGTCCAGTGACTGAACAACAGCAAACAGAGGAAGAGTCAATAGAAGAACAGCAGTATAAAGAGAAGAAAAAAGGTGCACTACCTATTGCATTCTTTCCCATGTCAAGAAGCTGAAATGGAAAATAACCAAGAGGTATAAATTGACCTGAGAAAGGACGAAAGATCATGTATTCAAAACCCTATTAATCAGTTCATTTGTTATGCAGATGCAATGAGAAGCTTCCATTAATACAGGTTATCATCTTTCCTATTTTTTATTAGCATTTTTTCACGAAATCTTTACATTATTAGGATTGGGTTTTATTTCCAACAAAGCATTAGTTAGTTGTCTCCCATTAGGACTAGGACACGGCAATTCACGGGTACTATGCTTGTACTACTTATGATAGCTATTGGATCAAACCTTCTACATTATAAATACAAAGATTCATACAAGTCTACCACTTCGCATATGGTGCTGCCATATGCCTGCCCTCGAACTTTGGAATATTAAATTCAGATATGAATAAAACTTAATTTGTTCCTTTCTTTCAACAAAAGAAATGATGAATTTGTGATCGGATGGTAGGAAAATGAAAACATTTCCAAATAATTAAGGAAAGAGGACGCCTATTGAATTCATCGAGCCAAGCATTCAATACAGTGGATATTAGAACAACATATTTTAATGGCCCCCCTTCATCTGTGGGTGAGCAATGAAAGGCAGAAAAACAAGTCGTTAATGTGGGACCCGACTGCATTTTTCTACTGAAATCACTGATCATGTTAAACTCATGTTCATGTTTGTCTATTCATCGATTTGTACTTGGTTTATTTGTCACTGATTTATTTGTATCCAGTTTCCACACTAATTAACGAGACTGATCAGCAAGAGTTGTAAGTCGTGAGCAACAAACTGTTAATCATGACGAAAACCATCTTTAATTGCTAAAATTGCTAATTTTCTTATTCCAGAAAACACAAGGTAGAACAACACAAAACAATGTCCACCGCTCTAAAAAAAGTAAGCAGAAGAACTGCAGTCAACGCACCTGCCACTCTTGGAATCCTTGCACGCTTTCTGCGTTCAATTTTTTAATAGCAACCACAATTCCACACCCTGCCTTAGATGGTGTCAGTGTCTTCTCATCCAGCCAGCCTTTGTAAACTTTACCAAAACCACCCTCTCCAAGCAATGTATCGGATTTGAAGTTCTTTGTAGCTGCTTTCAAGTCTCCAAAACTGAATACCTTCAGGTTTGGAGTTTCTAGAATTTGCCCGTTAGGGGAAGGAAGGGAATCGCCGAGGCTCCCACTTGCCAGTTCTGAAAATTGACTCCTCGCAGCACTGCTGTTCGTAGCAGAGAACCCAACGTTCTTACTGTCAGTACTCGCTGAACCTACAGAGGCAAATGGTCAAAGAGAATGGAAATCTAGCCTTGCTTCTCTGGGAAGTTGCAACAATCAGATAGAACCAGTGACCAAGTTTCACCCAATTTATGCGACCCATGCCGAGAAATCCCAGATTATGGAAAATAAAACCCATTCTCACCTGAACATGGATTTTTGTTGATACTAGACGTCGCTCCATCATCGTGGGCGAGAGACCCAAAGCATAGACCCATATCAAGCCCCCAGGCGAGAAAGCTAGCATAAAATGGCTCCCGCAAAGCCTGAAAGAGCAGCAATGAAGAAGGTTTGAGGGAGCCAGAGGCGAGAAGTATCGTTTTCGTCTTGGTTACCACAATTTTTTTCGGTTAAATTATGTTCATTTCTTTTTCTAGGGGTTACTGTGCGAAATTCACATAGCTGCTTCGCCGGCTAGACCCAGTTGAAGCAAAAACTCCGCTACCATCGAAGTTTCGTTTTTTGATTTTTCTTTTATTTATTTGTTTGTTACTACCCTTTCACATCGTTTTTCCGCCGCTACCAAGCTCTTCTCAGATTAAGGTCAACGACCGCGTGAGAGTTGGGTCAAAACCTCCATCTGTGTTTATCCATCGTCTGGGGCCCAGAAAACAGCACACGAAACCACAAATCCTTCCGAATATGATGACTAAACTGAACGACAGGGTTTCAAATAATCGCTTCAACTTTAATTTGCTGGAGGACACGGGTCAAATTCAATGCGCCTTCAATGGGTCAGGCTTTGCACTTTTTGTTTTGGGGCAAGAAGCTCAGGCTTTGCTAATCGTGATTCAGTGATTCGCTAATCGTGTCCTTTCCGTAACTCTAGAAATTTAACAAATCAAATATTTGTTTTTGGTGCACCTGATCTTGAACTAATTTTTAAAAAAATTCAACACTTTAAAGTTTTTTTTTGTCTAAATACTGGATGTACAAAAAAATATTTTTAAATTCTAGATACACTCAAAAAATAATTTAGAATGTTGGATACATTAAAAAATATTTTAAAGTACTGAATGCTCTTAAATATTTCAATGCACTGAATGTATCACAAAAATACTTTAGGATACTAGATCTACCGAAAAAATATTTTGAGATGCTGGATACATCTTAACTTAGTTTTAAAAGTGATTTGATGATATAAGAAGTAAGTATGCGATAAGAACTCTTTTTGAATTTTTTTTTTTTGCACATATAAAACACCCCCTCAATCTGGTGATGTAATACTACCTTTGGTCTAGTAATTATTTTACACAACTTATAAATAAAAAAGAAAGTTAAAATTAATTATTTCTTATAAAATCTTAAAATTGTCCTCAACAAAAATTATTAATGAGAAGAGTTTGGTTAATTAGAAAGTTTTATAATTAATTAAGAATATTGGTAGAAAAAATTAGGATTAATATAATTTTTGGTCCCTCAAATATGTTCTTCATTTTAATTTTGGTCTCTTAAGAGGCAAAATGATTCTAGTTTTTATTAAATTATAAGGACTAATATTTTAAATGACAAAAAATTGAAAGACCAAAATTAAAACCAAAATTTGTATTAACCCAAAAAATTAATGCTTCGTTCAGTCACTAATTTAGGAGCCGTTTTGCAGGATTAGATTTAATTGTAAATATAAAATTCTAATTCACGTTATTTCTCATATTTATCGTATTTTCTAAACTAATTTATCAACTTATAAAATAACATATAAACTAATGTTACACAGATATTTTAAATCATAGTTGTTATACTTAATTAATTTATCTAATTTTTTAATATACTCCAATTGATTAACTAAAAAATGAAAATCATAATCTTTAATATGTGAGATGTTGAATTAGTAATTAGTACGTTTGGAATTGTCTATACTGTCAATCTCAAAACTGTAGCCACGGATGGATCCGAGCCTTTCTCAAGGCAAGCGACTCCTTCAGATGCGAGATGACCCTTTTTCAAGGCAATTGACTCTCCCAAAACCATCCAAGACTCGCAACATCCAAGTCCCAAATCTCAACCTCACAACAGCCCCAGAATTTATTCAGCAATGCGTAATTAAATTCGCCACGCAGCATTACAATTTACAAGGACATTCTCTATTAACTTTATCCAGTCCTTTATTTTTAGTACATCCCAATATTAAACCTCACCAAGCCACAATGTTCTAACCCGAATCACAATCAAACGAACTTTAACGGGCAGCTGTATCAACTGAAACAAAAACACAAAGGAAGGTCTCTGTCTCTACAGTCTCATCATGTCCAAGCAACGCGTTCAAAGCTAAGCAGAACAGTGCAATAACCGACCAAGAATTGACTTTACTAGCCACTGCATTAAATTCGTCAAAGCTATGTCAAATGCAACACTTTGCTCAACTTCGAAAATCAATTAAAGTGACGATCTCTATTAACTTTAATGGAAGGGTATAAACGGAGATGAGCATACAATTAAGGAATCATCTGAGAACAAGGGATGTCATCAGGCCAAGAGACAAAAGTTCCACTGTTTCACAATCCATACATATGTAGAGAGAATTAAATGAAACGGAAACTTATGCCATTTTTACTCCAGTGAAGCAGCAACCTTTCCGACAATACTACCCCCTAAGTCCAAGCCCACACTGTTTTAGAACAGTGTGGTCGCCACTTACTAACTTGCCAAAACAGCTACAATTTCTCACTGGAAATTGCCTTGCGTTGGCTGAGCTTCCAATTTCTCCAGGTGAAAGGGAACATGTATGCTTTTATAATTATTAGAAGCAGAACTGCATAGATTTCAGTGATCTTTCAAACGATCGTTTTTTCACTCGTTGACCTTTAGGCTCTAAGAGCTGGAAGCACTGGAGCTCTGTTTCGTCATAGCTCGAGCTCTGTGCCTTCTCTTGAAGACATCCTGTCTGAATCTCTTGGTTTCTCGCTCTATGTCCACGGAGGGTTTCCTCTCAATAATTTCTTTTTCACACTCGAGCATCTTTTGCCTCTTTGTCACAGCCATAACAGCAGTATCATTCTCTATTTCTTCATTTTCTGCCACTTCCTGCATGTACTTGTGGTAAATCAAAAGTGATAAAAAAAAATGCATGCTTATGTATGACGGTTCATATTTAAATATAGCATAAAAGTACCAAGGCTGTTAAAAGTGAGATTGTAGTTAAAAAGAAAAATCAAAAGGCCAGCAAATATTTAGTCCAAAACCAAAGCAAAAGGCCGGCAACCTTCAAAATATAAAAATTCATAATTGACACATAAAGAATTATGAATTAACATCCCGTTTTAAAGTTAAGCATTAAAGAAAGACTATCCATCTAAGAAAAACTGAAATGATATGTTTATAAATCAAGTATAAAGTTCAACCAAATATTTAAAATATCTATCAGGCAGGACTCCATGTATCAAGTGTATCCAGTATCACTGAAAAAACAAACGAAATTGAAAAGTCATGCATAATGGAGGGTGAAATATACCAGAAAAAGAGCTTTCATCAGTACTGTCATTTTCTCCTTTGTTTTTCTCATCTTCTCACACTTATTATTTCCCTATTCAAGTATTTCTACCGCACAAGATTGCAAAAGTAACATTATCCAAGGAATATATGAATATACACGGGAAAATAATGTGTTACATAAAAATGTCATTAAAAAACAGTACATTCATCTTTCAAATGATTAGGGTAGATTCTGATTTTTTTTTTTTTTTTTTGCCCAACCAGAACACATGAGGAAAGAGATATTCAGCATGACCGAGAGAACACAAAATAAAAGCACAATACAATGGATCACAACTCCGGCTCATTTTCAATGCTCTAAAGAGCAGTTCAACCATGTGTAACGGTATATATTATGATGAAATCCATAGCATTTTTCATGTCTTGAAATAAAACTACCCCCTATGTTTACACTTTTAACAATCATGAGTGCCACTCGGCAAGAAAAAAAAAGGACACTGCTTCCAAGTCAATGTTTATATCAATCAACCCACACCGAGAAGAAATTTATGACCACTCATTCTCTGATAATGCACCGTATTAATGATACTAGGACAGTTGCCCTAACATACACTGGAAATGAAACTGATGTTCTTTGTCACATATCAAGAGTTCACTTGAAACGTGCTATGTATGTATAGCTCTATGCTGAGTGCAGCGAAGTCATCAACATAAGAGAGGCATAGTAAGAAAAGACCTGAAGATCATGAATGAGATTGTCAAGCGATTTAATCTTCCTATGAGGCCAGCGGGGAATACCAAATTCTCTGCACTTCCTCTTTAGTACGGTGAGTCCAACTTTTAGATTTCTTGATGCTTCTACAATTGGCACATCAAAGTACTTCACCAGATCTGCTAAACCAATGCTTGCTACATCTTTACTAGCTGCCCTCTTTTTCTTCTCTATGTTACCTGTATTTGGTTATCTGACCTGTAAGATTTTAATACATGTCCGTGACAAAATAATATTAAAATTAAGAGCACTGATGCAAAACCTGGTAAACTTTCGTCAATGATGTCATTGTCTGGCCACTCAGCTGGGTCTAAACTTTCATCATCTGATTCATTCCCTGGTAAATCAGACATGCCTAAGCTTTCCTCATCTGCTTCCTTGTCTTGTGGCTCAGGCATGTCATCCGGATAAGGAAGACAATTGAGATCCTGGAGCAAAATTTTTCTTGGCTGACGGCTATCATTGCGGTTTCCTTGGCATCTTTCATCAGAAGAGGTTTGCAGCATATCATTCTCTTTTGATTTACAGTTCAACTCATGTATCATATGAAGATCATTAAGCAATGTTGGAATCAGCTGAAGTTTGGGATTCCTGAATAATTTTTAGAAGCAATTAAAAGAGGGAGAAGGGAGAGTTATGAATTTTAGATGGTACAAGTAGTAGCACAGTAATGTGGAGATGCAGTGGTCTATACATTGATGGTGTGCAAAGTTACCAAATGTGACATATAATACACAAGAAATTAGATATAAGCATGCCATACACATGCAAATGATCTGTTTCACTTTTGAGCAGCTTTCAATAAACATGACTGCATTTTTTAGATTATTAAATGCCTCCCAGAAAACAAAAAATGGACATTAGCAACTCAAAGAAGTTCACAATTCTCGTTTAAGTCAACCTCAAGTTCGAACTCCTGCTAAGGCCAAAACTAATTAGCAAGGAAAACTATGCAAAAGATGCTTCAAAGATATCAAAGCTTAGGGAGGGTATATCTTCCTCCTAATTGCATGTTTAAATGATAAAAAAAAGTACATTCTCTTGCTTGTTCAAGAGATCAAATAAAAGGTGGGGAGTTATCTTACAATTTGGAGGTGAAAAAGTTTACCATATGAGAAAAGAATGGAAGGGTAATCAATCTCCTATATCTCTGTTCCCTTTCTTAAGAAGGAACAGAAGAAAATCGAAACATTCAAAGTAGTTCTCTTGACATGCCCACTCCCGGTACAAATCAGACAGTATTTGATGCCTTCAGTAAACCAGCGACATAGTAACAAGATAAGTGCTTGAACTTACAGAAATCTGAACATCAAACCACTAAACGGCTGGGTAGGTGGTCACATTAAATTGACTTTCAATAGGACGACAAGCAGAATGTTAATAAATGGAGATCAGAGATGGCACATGAAGGACCACTTAGGATGGCCATCATAAGATTCCAGCGAAAGAGAAGTGAACAGAGTAGGGGCAATCTTGGGTTTCAAGTTTATGATTTAGTAAACATCCGATACACTCCTGTTTAAGGCATCTTCGCCAAGATTTAGTAGTGTCGTAAATCGATAAATAGTTACTTACTTGCTTATACTAGAGATGCCACTCACAGCAAACGTTTACTTCCAAGGAAAAAGTAAAGCCAGAGACATTTTCAGGTCTCAAAACTAATCCCTGTACAGTTTGCTATTATTCAGGTAAGGATTAAGGGATTTTTTTAAAACCTATATTCCATTGCCAATACTTCCTCCTTTTATCACTTTCCCAAGGCAAAAGGAGAGAGGGTGGGATTCTGACGAAGTGTAGGCTCCTAGAATCTTGAATGATTAAGTCAAACGATTGCCAGTATGCCGCATGTATAAAGGAAGTCTCGATACAATTATAGTTAGCTTCTCCATTGTTCCATCCGTCAACTAGCATGTTATAAATTCTCATCCTAAATTAGAGTTTGCTCAGCATGTGTTGTATGGTTCACAGGACGTCAACTTACATAAAATCCAAAATTTTTCTGCCGTGTGTTACATATTTTAAAATGCGATTAAGTCGGGAACCCAAAAACAAACAAACAAAAAATGTGGGACCTAAGGGCTCGGCCCAAGATAATTTAATTAAGCAGGCCAATTTAGTAGATTAGTACCTCCAACCGAACGAGGTTTGGAGAACAAAACAACGGCGTTTAAAAAAGGCAGATAGGGCTTAACAGACGGTGGTTACCTCGTGACTGATAATAACCGAGGAACGCGGGAACATTGAGGCTTGTGATCGGCGTGAAACGCAAAGACACAAAGCCAGACTCCATTCTGATACCCTTCAGAAACTTCGGAAACACGAAATTTCTGTAATGTAAGAATTGGGGTAGCTCGCATTTCTCCGTATGAGCCGCTCCGAGAAAATACAAACTCTCTTTCAACCTCGCTTTCCCTCCCATCCCTCAGTCGGTAGACATGCACGCTCCTGATCAACTCTGCAACATCAACAAAATTTCGAAAATTGTCAATCCCCCAGCCAGCCCCAAAACATTCTTTCCATTAAAAAAAAAAAACAAAAGTTTCGATCGAAATGAGCAATGAAATCTGAAACTCAGACTCCAGGAAATGAAACGAAAACGAGGGATGAGTTCATAGTTACCTTCTTTAATGGTGTTCTGGAAGACTAGAAGAGTGGTCAGAGAACAGTTCCCTGCGGAATCCATGAAGGTTCTGAGGATATCATGACTATTGAGTACGAAGTAGAGGGAACGACGGTGAAGGGAGAAAGGGAAACGAATGAGGCAAAAACCAGCTTTTTGAGTGAGTTTGCATGATCTTCCCCTTTTTTCTCGTTTGTTTTCGGCTCAAAATCCAGGGTCCGCCAACGCCAAGGTCAGTGTGGCAGGTTTTTTTTAAATTTTTTAAATATACATGCATGCATACATACATACATACATATTTATATTTATATATGGCGACACACACATTTTTCCCTCCTTTTGGCTCCCTAACCCCTGCCATTTTTTCCATTTATTTATTTAATCATCTGTTTCGATTTTGACTGCATTTTATTCTAATTTATAAGGAGAAAAATAATTCGAATAATTTAGGTTTTACATGTTTTCTTATTTTGAAATCAGTTTTTTCAAAAATAAAAAAAATTTTGTTTGGTAACTTATTTTTAACTTAGTATTTAAAAAAACACAAATCTGTTTTTTAAAACTAAAAAATAAAACAATTTGCAGTTGTTTTCTTATTTTTATTTTTACATTTTTTTTTTGGTTTGGAAAAACTAAGAAACCCCTTTTTTCACTTAATGGCTTTTTTCCCATTTAAACATTTGAGTTCTTGTTAAAACTTTACTCTTCGATTTTAGTATATTTATTTTTAAATATGATTTTTTTAAAACAATTACTTAAACATATTTTTTGTTTTTTATTTCTAAACTTATTTTTAAAAAAATATTTTGGAGAAACAAACAGGCCTTATACCAACAAAGAAATATTTATATGATTTTGATTAAAACAATATTTGTATGGTCAGATTAGCAATGCAATTTAAGTTGAAACAACTATTTGTTGTATGAAATATGATGCAATTTAAACAATTTCACGGCTTATGAATTCTCATTAATAATACATTTTACTATGCATTTAATATTTTATATTCAAATTAACAATAATGTTGATTTTGCAGGGATTATAACACTAGAAACATTCCATAAAAGGTTGCATATTTTAATAAAAAGTAAGGTCTCATGTAATATAAAGTTTGTTGTGAAAGCACGTGATTCATTATATATCTTCATGCTAATTGCTTCTTTCTTTCGAAATTCACCACTAGAAAATATCTTTATATCACATGTAAAAAGAAACAAATCAGGTTGAGATGGTATCACTAGTGGAGGCTTTTCTTTTTTTTTTTTGACCAGCCTAGTGGAGGCTTTTCTTAAAAGTTGGATTTCCAACATTTGATATGAAACAATATTTACCCTTCGTTACCCATGTCTCAGGAAAAATTATTCTTTGCTATTAATAAATGATACTCTCATGCTTGACTAGGAAACGCAGAAGAAATAGACCCCCAAAAAAAAAATGAATATGAAAAAAGATTCGCACTAATTTCTTGGCTGACGAGATTTGGAGCGATTATCATTTTCTTTTGGGTCAAAATTGGAGTGATCATCATCACGTGTTCTTGCAAATAATATCTTGATGCTTTTATACGGTATTATCTTAATAATGAATGTATTTAGCCTAATGCTACACATAGAGCAATCATTCATGGTGATATCAAGGAAGTGAATGAAGGAGCTTGTATATAAAAAATTTTCTATAGATTAAAACACATTGAAAGGACCTTTTTTTTGGGAACAGTGAAAGGATATATTTTGACACATACAACTTGTACTCCAATGCAAACGTTTTCTTCATTCCACTTGTTTCAGTTCGTGGTAAAGAACATCATCATAAGTTAAGGCTATACATATCACAAACAAGATAAAATGTCCTGTAACAGATGTGATGGCGATTTTTGTTAAAGACGGGTATTGATTTAGAAGGCAGGCATAAACTGCATAAAGTTACAGATAGGATTAAACATGTCACCTATCACACGGGGGAAAAAAAAAAATTCATGTCTTTAAGTTAAAAGACCAAGCCACTAGAATGACCCTTGTACAATGGTAAACACGTGCCTTCAATTAAGATTCCACTTCAGATAGGTAAGAAAAAGATCAGTTTCCAGCTTTGCCTCAAAAAAAGAAAAAAACGAATAGGTCAACAGCACAGGAACAGCGAAAGTGGTCATACAATGTACATCCTAGAAGTAGACTGACTTTCAGGCCTTTATACTCCAGTGCTGTTGCAGCAGATTCAGACAAGTTGTAGTCTCAGTCAAAGACGCATAAACCATGTCAAACTGTCCGTTCTCGTGACAAGGCTCAGCCGGCCAGCGCTTGCTAGCCCTCCAGACTAATCCCGTTATCCTCCATAGACTCTTCAGGTGATTTGGTCTCTGGAAAGTATTCCTCGTGGGGATACAATTGACGAAACAGCTGAAAGTGCATCAAACTGGTAAGCGCCATCCACAACATATGAAAATTATGCTCTTTTTTTTTTTTGGGGGGGGGGGGGTGTGCAGCATATAATCTTTACTCATGCACCCATCGAAGTTAATGCCAGAACATGAATATTTTCATGCTCATTTCTCTTCTTGATGGGAACAATTGCAGATGTAACAGTGAGTAAAATAATTCAAGCTGAAGAATCAGTACCTTCTCAGTTGCATCTAAAAGGTCGTTATAGTTTATATTCCCATCTGGTGGAGGAGCGGAACTAATGCGATCAAACTTAACCTGAAATGAAATAACACATTAGTGAGTAAAAAAATTATGCCAATCAATTCTGCGTATGTTGGAACCACGTTAGATTTGCTCTGTTATTGAAAAATTCTAAAAGTAATGTCATTGGTGTGTTCTACAAGAAAAAGAATGTGATCCTTGTAGGCATTTTGTTTCAGTAATTTGATGGTAAAAAGATAATCCAGGGAAGAAGTTCCGTCAAAATATGCAGGTAAAAGTAAGCATCATATGAGGGGGGGCAACTATAAGCAAAACAGAGTGAGACGCAAACCGCTGTTATTTTCTGCACATAAAATGCTCTCCAAAGCACAATGGGCTTTATATCTGCACTCTCACTTTGATCACTTGAAATACTGGGGTTTCCAGCTTCAGGCAACACAAGAAGAGCATTCATGGCAGCTTGTAGTAACTTCTTTCCTTCATCAGCATTTTTACAAACCGCACAAAAGTATAATACAAAACTAAACAAGAGCAAGCAGACAAGGCCAAATTACGTTCAGAGATCACTTAAAGAGTAACGTAAATTTATGATTAATAAGCGTGAAAAATGAATATGGTAAGTAACTTAGCATAACCAGGACGCAAAAGGTCGTTGAAGCCATTCTAACTATATTAAAGGCTACAATAAAATACATGATTCCAGTATATAAAAAAAGACAATAGAACTAAAAATCTGCAAATTTGAAGACAACAGAAACATTTCTGAACCATAACAAAGCAAGTACACCTTTTTTAAGTAATCGATAAATGAATTGAATAACGGTCTGCAGCCTGCTTTTATATTTCATCTTTTTCTTCCATTCTATGAATCTAGAAGCAGAAAGATCATCTTTTCTTCCATCATTATCTGATGATAGAGGTGAGCAATTTTGGCAGCCATTAAAATCGGGGGTGAAGGGAATGAAAGAAAAACAAGAGTAGGGACTGCGTTGACAAAGGAGTAGAGTAAACAAATGGCCAGAAATTCCTACTTGTGCGTGCCAGTTAGTTGTTTCATTCTAGATACACTCAACAAAACAAAACCCTGGGTTTTCCGCATGCCTAGCAAATCAGCTAACAATGAAGGTGCATCCGAAAGAAAATGTGGTTTTTTGGGACTTACAAGAAGAAAATTTTTTAAAAGAGAAAAGAAGGTATCCTTAAATTAGAAATGAGAAGCCAATCTCAAAACTTGACACAGAAACAAAGCCCTGAAGACTCAGATGTGTAAGAGTTGTCTAATCTATATGCATTTCGGAAATTGTTAATCCCTTAAGAAAAAAACCACATGCTGAGCACCAAAGAGAAGCCATATGCATAATTTTATCCCCTAACATATGTAAAGGCAAAGATATGTCTTTGAACCAGAGTAGAATGTGATTAGTATTGCCATTTATGATAAAAACTCATTCCTGAAACAAAAAGAAGGCACCTTTATTATCAAGTGGTCCAAGACTAAAGATTTGGACTAGACTTTCAGATCACGCTGGCAAAAATATGTGTGTCAGATGATGTACTATAAATGCATAGTTAGTTGTTTGAACAGCAATAGATACTATAGAATACTTTATGATACATTCCAGCTCAGACTGTTTGACAGACACAACCATCTAAAGGAGAAAATCAAAATAGTTAGGGAAAGAAAAGACAATCCAAAAATAAAACAGCATATCAATTCTTAATGTGAACTTACGTGCCTGGAGGACAAACAGCAAGGTTTGATCCTATCTGAAGAGCTCGGACAGATGTATGTTGTTCAGGATACAGAGCTAGACAGAGAAGAAGAGAAAAGGTTAATTTCTTTTCCTTTCATAATATATCTTCAACTTTTTTCTTTTAATAAAATGCAGACAATACATATCTTACATCTAGGAGGATACACCACCAAGCAAGTAGGCACATCTTTCTTTATGGAACTCCCTGTAACACATATGCCCCTGGCTACCATCCTTTTAACTTCTTTCTGACTTAAAATATGAATCCTTTCCATGGAATAATCTCTTGGAGATGAAGGCACTGGTGATGGAATGGTGAACGATGGATCCAGGATTAGCTGATCACTATATAAATCCTGACCGGAAGCTACTTTAATGCCTTTATAATGCCCAGTAACCTAAACACCAGTTTGAGCAATGATAACGACGAAACTGCTTCGTGCTTCAAGAATAGTAACCTCATATCTTCTTGAAAATAAGGCTTTTTTTTCCCAAATAAAACAGAGATTCAAAAAAAGTACCTTATCCATAAGAAGAGCAATGACTGGCATTCTGAGAACCTGTAACACGCGTCTAAGTTTAAATAGGCACACGCGTTCAATAAAACTATTCATAACAATTTTTCGACATCTATGGAAAAATAGTTGATAACCTTCAGTTTCAAAATTCAATCGCCACGTAGAGAAAAGTCCAGGTATTACTAGAAACATGAATACATTGGAACTTACATATATGCAACCTTTGACAGCAGCACGACGGCAAAAGGCTTGTGGTAACTCTCCTTCACCATAAATAGGATAAAGCAGAGCACCAGGGGCATTTGGAATTCTGAGACCACATCAGTACCTTACAGAAAAGTGATTTGACTCAAAAAGATTAAAGCAGATGCAGTATATAGAGAAAAAACCAAGCAGTTACCTGTTAACAGATGAACTGTACAGAGCTAAGCGTTCAATTCCATCTTTTGTCTTGAGTAAATCTTCACAAAACTCATTATTCTCTTGATCATAATCTGCCATGGCTATAGCATACGTAAGAATCCTGTAGGGGATTAAGAAGCATTTAGTAACTAGAGCAAGAACATAACATGCACTACAAAGTCAGGCTTGGCTTGACAGTGTTTCGGCAAAAACGCCTACAGAGATGAAAGAGCATGTTGTAGTGAAAAGTCAAGTCAACGTGAAAATAGAAAGCAATTCTCACTAACAGATACAATAGGGCGATAGGGTCTGTACGATTTTATCTTTGGTGGCAACCGCATTTTCTCCATGAAGAAAACAAATCGGCTCTCCAGATCTTCCTCTGAAATGTTGCAACCATCAACCCCGTCATCTGCATCCCTATTGTTGTAATTATCGGAAGAAGCTGCCGAGTGCTGCTGAATGAGCTTAAAGAACTCCATTAACCGGCGCTTCTCTATCGGCGTAAGACTCTTGTCATTAAAAATCGCTGCCCGAGAATCCGGCACATTCACAAATTTCCTATTTGCTTCGTACACAAAGCTCGCATCAATGCCTTTAAATTCTATATACTGGCAAGCACCAGACTTGAGCAGTAAATCAACGGATTTGTCAGCGCAAAATAGAGTCCTAGGTCCTCCCAAATCCAGATTAAATTTTCTGGAATTTTCACGCAGTAAGTTTTCCTTCTCAGAAGGGCAAGAAACAACTTCCACATCAGAGTACAGGGATTGCTGAATGAGTTCTATGACGACGTGATTGCTATCGTCATGCTGATTGCCCAGCGTAGTTGTGGCGGTAGCGGCTGATGCGGGTACAGAATGGGAATTGAGGAAAGAAGTGAAGTCATCAAGGGAAAGGGAAGCGAAGTAGCTGCCGTAGAAGGAATTGGGATCGAGATGGAGAACCGTCTTCCCGACAGCGGCAGCTGCGGCGGCAATAACAGATTCTGGCAGGCCGGTGCCCACGATAATAAGATCAAAGTTCACGGGGTCGATGGGAGGGTATGAAGAGGGTTCGGCTGCACTCATTGCGTCGACGAAACGTCGTAGTTATTGGCTAAGCTACACTTGGTACAGAGAAGTGCGACGAGAACTTGGTCGGATCAAAGCAAGCGCCGGAGGCCCTAAATCCAGCAATATTCTCCTTTTCTTTTAGCTTTTATCCCCTTCCGCGCAAAATATTGGGTGATTTGAAAGTATCCAAGCTCAAAATCTATCTTTGTAGGCTTGGTGACCTCACTATCTAGTGTTAAGTATCGTCTTCTTAAGCATAGGCTCAAGGCACAATCTCATACTTCTATTTAGATTTCACTTAGCATGTAATCTTTTCCCAACTCGCAGACCCTACAATATTACTTCATAACTTTATTTTATTACTCCTCCGGTCCTAATTATAAGACTCAATTGACTTATTTGAGGAGATTAAGGAAGTAAGTTAAGTTGGTTATTTATAATAAATAAGTGTTGTCATTCCTAAAACATCCTTGCTAATTAAGTATATTGGCTAAAACTATCATTATTAAAAAGATTATCTTGGAAAAAAATACATAAATATAAGAGACAAAATGGATTGGGATCTTATAATTAGGACCAAATAAAAAGTCAAATAGGGTCTTATAATAAGGACCGGAGGAGTAACATGTAAGAGGCAAGCTATTGCTCAAGTTGTATAAAAAGGAGCTCCACTCCTAACAGTATTTTTTAATTTTAACTCACTCAAAACTCATGCATATAGTTTAAATTTTAAACTGTTATGGCCAAGGTACATTTTTCTTTATTTTATGCAGATTGATAGTGTTATGTGACATTGAAAGCGGAACATATGAAGTAATTCCTCCATTTCAAATTGTAAGATATTTTAAGAAATCTCATCTTAATTTTTCTTTTAAAAAAGTATATAATTTTAGAAATATTATTCATTCAACATTAAGCAACACATAATTAGAGAAGGATATTTTTGAAACAAGATTATTAGTGAATTATTGTGTTCTCCAATACATCGTATATCATGAAATATGAAATGAAACCATTCCAAAGAATATCTTGACACAATTATTTTCAAAATTTAAAAATATGAATCACTCCAACGTGCATATATTTTTATTTACATAAATAAATTCACTAAATATTAAGCAAATCACGTGCATTTAAAAACATTTTTAGCTATTTGCAAATAAGTTTCGTGGGTTCTTTCTTCTCAAATGCTCCCTCCCCACCATGATGTGAGATGTTTGTTAAAAGAAAATTATGGTATAAAATATAAGATGTTGTCAAGATAATTAATATAATTTTTCTTTTATTTTCACCCCTATTAAATATAGGAGAGAGATGAGATACAATAAATGAGTAATATTAAAAGTAATTTTCTTTTTTTTTTAGAGATAAAATGGGAAAACTTTATCATTTTAGGACATATTTAATGACTAAATTTTTATTTTTTGATACATGAGAAAAGTTAACTAACTTCTTATATTATAAACTAAGACAATACAAAAGGATTTTTTTTTTGGCTAAAGCATAGATATCTGCTCATTAGAAGCAATCCTATTCAAAGCACTGTCCGGCACTAAATGTGGGCACTTCTCTTAATAGACATTCGAACATTAGTTTTTCATATTGTGAGGGACTATCCCTTTCTGTTAGACCCAACTCCTGTTGATAATACAAAAGGACCATTAAACCAAAAATATGCGGCAAATCATATGGTTCCAAGTGACTCGTGCTCTCACGAGCCTCGAGACCCACCTTGTTTTTTTTGACCTAATAATTATCGGAAATTTCATGAATCTTCAAAAATGCCTTCTCGCTAACAACCATCCAACAGCCTAGTCAGCTGTATATTTGATAATATGATAATCCAACTAGATATTGGTCTTGTTTGGCAGAGCATTAAAAATTATTTATAATCACATTTTATATAAATCAAAACAAATCTCTTCTTATATACTTGTATTAATCTCGTATGCCGTAAAACATAATTAAAAAATTACTTATAAATTATTCTAAACAAACCCATTATAAGTAGGCCGGATTTTATCCCGAACAATTTCAGAAATAGGCGTAATTCCTACATGAAATCAGAAGTTTAATCACAGGAAATTTCAAATTAGATCCCTCATGCATGGTCTTCTTTGGTCCAATCTTTATACCTTTACCCTACATTTGATGTAGAAGTACAAAACATTGAAAAGAAAGAAAAATTTTAATAAACACAATTTAAAAATTATAAAAGTCCGATTATAAAATTTTGATTAAAAATAAATTACAAACTGTTAACACATTTTTTAAAAATTTTTAATTTTTAAATCGAGCTGTGTCAAGAAAATTAATTAAGAACTTTTAACCCACTTTTTTAATTTTTCAAATTAACTTCATTAAAATTTTCTTTCTTCCCATTTCTTCATACCGAATGGACCCTCTCTCTCCCTCTCCGTGCATGATGAAGGCTCTCGCAACCAAATTTCTAAAGAACAAATACAATGCAACATTCAAACAAATCCATTAAGTAGGACCAATATCCTAGACACAATCCAAATAGAGGCACATACAGTAGCACCGAAATGTATACCAAAGATTAAAAACCTAAGCATCAAGCCAGCCAAATGGGTCCCATCTCGATTACTGCCTCGACCTTGACTCTGCCCGTCTAGCTTCATCTGCTGTAGATGGAAACAGCTCCACGTACCTTGATCCAATTGTCATTTTATCCTTGCACATTGCTCTCTTAGCCTCTTCTGCGGAAACAAACTCCACATATGCCTCTCCTGTAGCTTTCCCATCAGGGCGACATGCAATATGTATCTTATCTTCAACCAGCTTATAATCTCCAAAAAAATCAATAATTTCAGATTTTGAGACAGTGAATGGAAGTCCGCGCATTTTTAATATCTCTGTGTATTCCATTTGGTCCTTATCACTGAACCTCTTGGAACGAGATGGAGGAGGGCTTCCATGATAGTCGGTGTCATATATTCCTTCATAGTTTACCTCAGCAGCAACTGCATTATAGTAATCTTGCCTCTTACACCTGAAAACTTCCACATATCTTCGACCCATGTTCTGCCGATCTCTCTGTAAAGCAAACTCAACTTGCACTGCTCCAGCAAAGACAACAAAAGCCTCCCCTGAAAACCTTCCACTCTTGTTGACCAGCAATACATCCACAATGTCCAGTCCAGCAAAGAACTTGAAAATGTCAATATCAGTGCAGTTGAAGGGAAGCCCCCTGAGACGAACGACAGGAAAGGGTGGGGGCTGAAAGGCACCAGCATATCCATAAGGTTGAAAGCCACCTGTTCCGCTGCTCACTGCGAAGTAGGGATTGGATTCCATCATTCTTTGTCTCTTTGAGCCAACCTCGTACCCGTCCGAAACCCCCCCGCTTCCCAACATTGCCCTTCAAATTCCATACCCAAAACAAAACAGAAAAACATCCCCCACTCAACATGTTAATAAAGCCAAACCCAACCCACACTTCCCTGACATCTAATTTTAATTCCTAATCTCACAGCATCAATCATAGCGATCATTTTTCCTATAAGAATACACAACATAGAAAAAGAAAAAAAACCAGCTTCTATGCATGAAAGTAACAAACATCCATCCAGACCAATAGACTAATAGTGTACCTAGAATGGACCACAAATGCATAGTTTCTAAGAAGTTTAATCAATTTAACACTGAATAGACAATCCATTAATTACACATATAATGGTGAACAGGAAAGAAACTAAACCACATTAGAGAGAACATGGTCATATGAATCCCGCGTTATTTTAGGAGGTGCTTGGATAGAAATAAAACTATGATTTTAAAAGTGCTTTTAAGGTATACGAAATAAATATGTGGAGGAATTTGCTTCGATTTGCAGAAAAGTACTTTTGGGGTTATCCAAACACCCTTTTAGTCTAACAAGGTCACACAACCACATCTAACCGAACCAAAACAAATTTTATAGCAGCAGAAGCATATAGGATGATGTCATATGTAAAAAATAACATGCATGCACCGGAAAAGGTTGAATAACATAAATAACATCAGTCAATAAAATAATTCGGAAACTTGAAAAACTATATTATCATCTATTCAGTATTGTTCCTACGTCACAGGGTTGTCAGTAACATATTCACGAGACTGTTTTCCTTACCCTCCAGTCTCCACTAAATTCATTGAAGAAATAACAAAGTCAAGACGTAGAACCTAAATTGAGAAGGCCACTCACTACAATACATAAAAATGGGTGAATATTTGTAAATAGAATTTTCACATTCAAGAGAAATTCCCATTTCAGTTAATCACTTGATCAAATAACCAATTATAAAGAAGTTGAATATGATTCTACAAATTGCCATAAAGGCCAGCAGTCAGCCTTCCTGCCAGTATGGCTATCAGCAAAGGGAGACTATTAAAACTAGCACTATCTCTATATATCAATATTCATGAATGGACTAATTACCACTTTCTATACATTTCGAGTCAAATCAAGGAAAAACCGAAAACAACTCGAAAAAACCCCAACACAATAACCCTAAAGAGACTCCTAAACGTAGCCATCACGTCACAGACACAAAAAAAATACCATCGTAAAGTCTAAAATGCTCATTTCAATGCCACTCTAGCATACTCAATCGCAAGTTTAAACACCCCATAGAAGATCGAAAGCATAAATTAGAAACGACAACACATAATACAAGGCGAAGAACACAGGCAAGAATATATCAGGAAAAAACAGAAAATCAGCAGTGCAAAAACATTAAAAAGCAAAAGATCAGGTCTTGTCAATTTACCCTCTCGATCCGTACATGGCTCCAAGGCCGCTGTAAGGTCGACCGTAAGGCGGCTCGGTCGCCGGAGGAAAACGAAACGGCTCCAGGGTTCCCGCGAAGAAAGACCTCACACAGAGATGAATAGGGAGAAGAAACCCCAACTAGGGTTTGATTGGCTCCACGAGAGTTTCTACGTCAACCCTAACTAGCGCGCTCGTTTGGTGATTACTTTTCGTTCTCGAATTGGTCTTGTTCCGGTATTTAAGTACTTGTATTATGTTGTGCTGTAAACGCCGACTGTTGTTATTTTTTAAGAGGCGTTTGGTTTCGAAAAATAATTTTTAAAAACACCTTTACATAAGTTGAAGAGATATTTGGACAGAATTCAAACTTTAAATTTAAAAATAATTTTATAATATATGAAGTAAAAATGTAAAAAAAATTGTCTTAATCTACAAAAAATATTTTTAAGAATATTCAAATACTTCCGAAATAAAATTCTTCTTTCATATTTATTTTGTAGTACTATTATAAAATTACTTTAAATTCTACCAAACATGTCCTTGATCATCAAAATGGCGAAATCACGTTGGCCCGAAGGGGAGGGGAGAGATGCCCAATTCACCTCTCATAACCAGGCACAACGGACTGTAGCCTGTAGGAGCAGCAGGTCGCATCATTAGTCCAAGGGTGGCTTTGTCGCCCCATCTAACAAAGTTGTTTTTTTTTTGGGGTTATTAAAACTTATTGGGCGGATCTAACAGTGATGGGCTTCATAGTTATAGGGAAAAACCTGCTAACAAAAAACAGTGTTTGGTTAACTTGAAAAGTACTTTTTAAACTTATCACATGCTTATTTGATAGATCATAAAATTATTTTTAAAATTATAAGTTAGTTTTTACTTAAATACTCCTAAATCAAAAAGAAAAGCTAACACATACAAACAGATACCAACCTATAGTATATTGTATAAAAACACGAGAATAATTAAATATAAATTAATTAATATTTTTTAGACATTAATTAAATATGAGGCTTAAAGAGGTGTTTAGGAAGTGTTGAAAGTATTTTTTAAAAAAATTTTCACAGACATAATTCTTTTTATATGCTTATTTCGAATTATGTAAAATCACTTTTAAAATTATAATTTGATTTTCATCCAAATACTCTTTTTAGTTTAGTGCTGAAATATAATTAGAAGCTTGGTTTCCTAGTCCTTGGTAATAATTTTACTTGATAAAAAGATAGGAGGGAGAAGATTGCTTAGCCCGTATAGTATCTCCAGTCTTTAATATAAAATTTTATTTAACTTTTATTTTAATCCTAAATATAAGATTCTAATCTACTTTGTTTCTCATATTTTTGTATTTTTTTCAAGGTAGTCATTCTAAAAAATAATATTTTTAACTAATATACTTGATTAGCAAGTATATTTTAAGAAAGATAATACTCCTCCGAACTGAAGGAGTATCTATTTATTATAAATAACTAAATTTATTTTTTTAATATACTCAAAAGCGTTTTATTCATGGAAAAAAAAAAACCGGACCGGCCGGTTCAACTGGTGAACCGGCCTATTGTCCGGTCCGGAATAAGGCAAGAACCGGCCAGGGGTTAAACCGGTGGTAAACCAGTTGAGCCGGTATGAACCGGTGTAAAACCGGGTAAAACCGCCGGTTTAGGTGATTTAGCCGGTTCAAAACATTTCCCCCTCCAGAGCCCCAAAACGACGGCGTTGTATTTAAAAAAAAAATTTCAAACCCAGACCAGCTCAACCCCCCGACCCGTCTCCTTCGGTCCTTCCTCATTCGGTCTCCAAAACGGCAAAACCAGCTCGACGCCCATCTCGGCAGCTCCTTCCTAATCCTCAGTCCCAGCCGCCGTCGCCGTGTGCTCACTGTCCCGTCTCGGTACCAGCTCGCTGAATCTCACCGCCGTCACCTCATTGAATCTCCCAGCTCAGCTCATTGAAGCTTGCACCGTCACCGCGTCGTCCCTTGCCCCGCCTGAAGCTGCTCGGTGCCCTGCCTGAAGCTGCTCGTCCTGCCGTCACCTCGCCTGAAGCTGCTCATCCAGACTCCAGAGTCTAGACTCCCAATTTCATTTGAGCTCTCAGTCTCGTTGCCTCGCCTGAAGTTTGGTACAATTAAATGTTTAAATCACTTTGGTTGTTTTTTGTATTTTGTTGAATGGTTATTATTGATGAATGTTATTTTTATTTTGTCATTGCCAATTAAATTATATTATTTTAATATGACCGGTTTGACCCTGGTCTGACTTCGAACTGACCCATTGACCCTTAACCCACTAGTTAGACCGGTTTAGTATCTGGTCTGATTTTTTGTTCATTGGTTTTATTAACGAAAGACAACTGGGTTGGGCCGGTATGTGTCGGCCTATTATTGATCACGGAGGAATTGGCCTTGTCGTGGCGGCGTCTCGCTGTGGAAGGCGCGCGCGTTGTGTGTGGAATGTGGATGACCTGCTGATGCGTAAATGGCGGGTCCCGGCAAATGCATCCTCGTCACCGGTCCTCCGGTTAGCCCCGCGTAAACTCGCTCTCATCCCATTATTTTCTTCCGTCGATGCTTTAAACTTTCTTCTGTTTTTTCACTGGATCATGTGGGAGGTTTTGTGCGCAGGGTGTGGGCAAAAGCACTCTGATTATGAGAGTGTTCGAGGGCCTTAAAACTTCAAATCCCAACCTCAAAGTTCAGGGTTTCTACACTCGTAGGATTCCCCTCTTCCTCTCTTCTTGGTTACATTTCATAATCGTTATGCATCAATATCTTGCGTCATTGATAGTGGAGGAATTTTCAGGTGAAGTTAGACAAGGAAGCGAGAGAATTGGTTTTGAGGTTGTCACTCTCGATGGTCGCATCGGTTCACTTGCCTCCGCCAACATTTCCAGGTTTCTTTGTTTTCTCTCCTTTCATTTTTATGCAGCCTTCTAATCTGTTCATTCTCAGTCCTCAGATATCAGTAGCGCAGCCGCGTCCGTTTTGTGGCGTGCGTTAGGACTTTTTTCAACTTGGGTCCGACTCTAGTGTTTTTGTTTGATGCTTTATCCTTCCTGCCTATCAGATGACACTTTATGAGTTTAGGCGCAAAAGCAGTTTACCGATGACACGTGCTGCAGTTGATTAATCGTTTAATTGACAAGAGTCTTCTAACTTAATTTTCCATATTTATTTGTGATGTTATTTAGTGGCAGGCCAGAGTCTCGCAGATGGCCCAATGTTGGCAAGTATAGAGTTGATATAGCATCTTTCGAGTCACTTGCACTGCCTGAGTTGCAGGTGAGGGGTGAGCTGATTTTCTCAAGACTGTTGTTTATTGGCTGAGTCTTATTTGGTTTATGCATTTGTTGACAAAGTTGTTAGCACACTGAGTAGGAAACGAGATTGCTGCATATTTCTCGAAGTGAATCTTGTTAAATCCATGTTTGCTCATTTCCAAAATTTTATGTTTCTTTAAATTGTAATCGATGGTGACGATTGTATTCAGCATGAATATTGTTTCTGAGTGTTGATTTGGCAATGACGACATATGATAGAAGCATTTTGCCCGATGTGTATTAGATTTGAGCCATGAATCTTTGAAGGTCTAAAGACACATGTTCAATGAATAGGTCAGAGAAGATACTGATCTCTTCATCATTGATGAAGTTGGTAAGCTGGAGTTGTACAGCTCATCCTTCTTCCCTGCTGTTTTAAAAGTGCTGGAATCAAACATCCCAATTTTGGCTTCGATTCCAATTCCCAAATATGGTAGAGATATACCTGAAGGTAATTTTATTAGACGTTTACATCTTTCCCTCTCTCGAACTACTTGTTTATTTCTTGATAATGATAAGCTGCTGACGGTGGTGAAATACTCATTTAGACGTTCCAAAGTAGAATAACTCTTGCCAACTGATTTTTTTCTAATAAGTGACATGGGACAAATTCTGTCCGCAGGCCTAAAAGTAGGATGAACACTTGATAAGTATAATGGTCAAAGTTTTGAGACCTTCTGAAATGGTAAATAACTAAGACTGTCAATTTATGCAGTCGCTAGATTGCGGAATCATCCAACAGCAGATATTTATACCTTGAGCCTTAGCAACAGAGATGCTGTTAGAGAAGAGATACGCTCCCTACTGGTAGACCTGCTGAGAAAACATTAGATCAATAGTCATGTGTTTGAGCTCATGCCATGTGATCTTTCTTGAAGTTGGGAATGAGTTATGAGCTGAAGCAAGTCGAGAGAACGAGTCTCCACGAGATATTTGAACCTGCTTTTCTGAGTTGTGTGCTTTATCGTGCGAAATGAATGTCGTTGTTGAATTGCATTCAAACTTAATGCAGTTATATTTACCCATAAAGTCTGTAGAAATATTATTAATTGCAGACTGTACTTGATGTTTCCGGTTAATTAATATAGTTCCGTTGCTGCTGGCCTTTTACTTATATCCGATCGGGCTTATTTGTTTATTAATTAAAATCATGAATTTTCATATGGTTAATATTGGCATTTGCTAGGTTTTGTGTTTATATTTGTACATAAGCAAAGATTTATTTACGGGTCATGTGAAGGAGGAAAGATTTTCGTGTTTAAAATGCTGTGAAGTTGTGGTAATTGTTCCCTTCGCAGGGTTTAATGTGCTCGTGGGGGAGTATAGGCAGGGTTAGCCGTTGTGGAATTCGGATCTTCTGAAGTTGAACAATCAACATAAATTTTTATTTTATATAAAATTGAAAAAAGGTACAAAGTACTCCTCCGGTCCTAATTATAAGATCCAATTGACTTATTTGAGGGGATTAAGGAAGTAAGTTAAGTTAGTTATTTATAATAAATAAGTATTGTCATTCCTAAAATATCCTTACTAATTAAGTATATTGGCTAAAACTATCATTATTAGAAGGATTATCTTGGAAAAAAATACATAAATATAAGAGACAAAATGGATTGGGTCTTATAATTAGGACCAAATAAAAAGTCAAATTGGGTCTTATAATAAGGACAGTACTATTAACTTGCGTTAAAGGTGACTAGTTTTTGAGATTTAGCTCCAGATGAAGAAATTAAAGATAATCATCATATACAAACTGTGCAAGGTATTCAAAATAGAGTTTGAAGTACTTGAAAGCATACGATATTGAATTATCAAATGTGATCTTGGAGAATACTGTCGTGCGGCGATCAAGTTTCAAATGGAAGACACCCTATCAAATTTTTAAGGGGAAGAACACCGAGTTCACCATCTATGATGTGTCTTTTGATCAATATAAATACAAAAATAATGGCCAACAAACTTACATGCAGAAAGTTTGGCCCAAAAAAAAGAAAGAAACTTACACGCAGAAAGCATCTTTACAAATATATAAAAAAAAAAAAAGAAATTAAAAAGAAACAATGTATAAACTAATAAGAGTCTGAATAAGTCTAGTCCGCAGGCTTCTCAACGTTTATCCTGTTCAGCAGTTCGCAGGACCTGTTTTGCCAATGATGAAAATGATCTTGCTGTATCCTGCATCTCTGTAGCTCGAAGATTGATACCCTGCCCAACACACCAGATGAGTAGTACATGAATTATTTCCTGCATCCAGTAAAACTACTATCTGTGCTTTTACTTTATAGTTCGTAGCATGTTGTACTACATATACTCCTTCCCATTCTATTCACAAGGACATACTCAATGGTACTTAACACAAGACCTTCTATAATAGCTTTTCCATCATTTCCTAATAATGAGTTATGTCAATCAAAGGGTAAGTTTGGGAAATTACAAATGTTCTTGACATTTAACTAATTTTAACTATTTTCTTTAGGTTTTGGAAAGTAGGTGACGAGCCTTGTAACAAGGATTAGAGGAAGCATAAGATACCTGCAGTTTCCGCATGTTTTCCTGCAACTTGTTCTGCGCCAATTTAGCAGTGCTTGTTTCCTGCGGCAATTCATGATTGATTCATGTTTCTAGTAGCATTTCAAAACACATCATAACTGATTCTAATGTAGTATACAAAATGGTAAATATATTAGCTAATATTTGTTTAAAAAAAATGCATGGCTATCGGTGATATATTTTTTCCAAAAAAAAAAAACAAAGAAAGAAAGAAAGAAAGAAAAATACACTTTTGAACATATCTAATTCTTCATGAACCATGAGTGATCCATGTAGATCTTCTCTGAAGTCTGCAGTTTCTTAAAGGAATGCAGAGCTACAACTGTTCTGTCAATGGATCATAACTTGAATGTTTTTTCATGATGATAGAAAAGCGCAAACCTAATTGATCATAAATTTAATCATTTTGACAAATTATCGATCTTGACCCTCTTGCTTGTGAAATTACATCTGCATTGAGCAGTATAAATCACATGGCCATATTACAAGAAGATAGCTTTTCACCTAGGTAAAATATTTCACCTGTAAATAGGCACATCACAGTATTCCATGATCCTGAAGAATACCATGTAAGTAAATAGACGCCGAATGCATTATGTACAAGTACTTACATCGGAGGAAGAAGAAAACCCATATTTTTTCTTGATTTGATCAACTGCACCACCTTTCTCATCCTGTTGTTGCTCTTCCTTATCTGATGTTTTCTGAATGTTGCCCTTCATGTCTTTCAACCTTCCTGTACATTGGATGCTCAACAAAATCAGCTAAATCAGCTAAAGTTAAGGCCATATCCTTTAAACATCCTTATTCCATCTAGAATCCTTGATGGCAATCAGGAGGAATAAAGACGTAGAAGTAATCAAGCCGTCACTAACCCTTTAGAGCCTGAAACTTGCCAGCCAGATTCTTTTTATTGAGAGTCCCTAGTATCCTTTGATCTTTGCGCATTTCCCCAGGATCCTCGAGGTCAATGTCATCTGTACAGAAGGAAAAAAAAAAACATCTTGAATTGCGTTTGAATTGGCCTTCACCCTATACTTCGTACGAGGGGATTGGAGGGGAAGAGAGGAGGGAAAAAGTTCAATTTAAAAAATTGGAGAAGTGGGATTATACAATTTTGATAAAGAAAAGATGTAAAATAAAAGAGAAAACAAAATCATTTAAAAGCTTTCACTCCCACTTCTTTAATTTTTTAAACGGATCTCGTTTTAAAATTTTTCCTCTCCCCAGCTCCGCTCTATTTCCCTCATCATACCAAACAGATTAAAGAAAATCCCATGGGCTTCTGATGTAAAGCACAAGAAAAGAAGTAGTTTTTTGGGACTACAAGAGCATCTTTCATTGACAAAGGGATTATCCAGACAGATTACGTGTAGAATTCCGCAGGACTGATACGCACTGTCATACCTATGTTCAATTCAAGCTCATCCTCATCCATGGTACGCTTATCACTATGGTCAGCTTCACCTGGGAAATTTGAACTAGAAAAGATCACTGAGAGTTGCTGTATGCTTTCTTTTGTATCTTCTATTTCCATGACTGTCGCCTGCTTTTCTTTACTTCCGGTAAAATCTTTGATAACAGAGCTAAATATACCCTGCCCCGCCGAAAAAAGAATGGAATCACATACCATTTAGAGTTTGGAAAGTAAATAAAAACTAGTGTTCTACCTTTTTCTTTTCCTTATGGACTACCGGGGCAGGGACAACGTCTTCTTGCCATAGCATCCTTTCTTTCCTATAGATACAGCTGACGCTGTCCAAAAGCCTGAAAAGAAGTCAAACATTAGACCGCGATGAGAGCTCCTCTTAATTTAAGTGAAATTCTACTCTCACTGTCTTTTTCCCAGTGATCTTGTTCCCTGTGGCAAATATTCTTCTAGAGCAAATACAGTAGTGAATTAATAACATAATTATCAATGTCAATCTCTAGCCTCACATACCTGAAAGCATCCCTGTTGGCCAACATTGAGGCAACTAAAATTTCCTGGTCACCATTCACCTTCAAATGGAAGTTGTGTTAATTTGTAGTAGATCATAATAATCTAATTCACGCTATAGAAATATTAAAATATACTGGTACCATAACAAGATCTCCTTCGGATGAACAGCAAATTTGTCTGTCAGAAAATGACTTTAATTTCGGAGGTGAATAACCGAAATCTCTGATCGAGGACTCCACGATCAGGGACAACTCTGGCAAAGACCTAATATTTGGACAGAGAAAAAAATGTACGTCAGTACTAAACACTAAAGAATGAAAAATTAATTTAAAAAGCATGTTACGAAGTTGACAAACTAAAAATGGTTCAAAGTCCTGACTTTGAGCTCCAAGCAAACACTTCATCGTTTTTGCTTCTGGAGTACATCGGGTCAACAGAAGTATATTTTTGGTCTGATCATTTTTCTTATAGAAAAAGAAAATTTCGCTCTGTTCAGGATCTCGACTCCAAAAGAAATCTTACACCCACACATGTCAAGAAAAGAGCCACTACCTTAGTTCTACTTTTCCATTGGTGAAAAGGAGCATAAGTCCAATATCCGAACTACTGTAGAATGTAGATGCCCAGCAACAGGATGAGGAATGAAACTTCTTCTTGTGAAGCACCTTTTTAACACCCTGAAACATCCAACCAGTGTAATAGCGGGCACCAGCAAATGTTCAACTGTTATTCATAACATAGAATTGTTGGTATGAATAGAAGTGAAATGCATATTACCTGAACAACAGGCACAAAAGAATAGATATACAAAGCTTTCTCAGAACACAACAAAACGCACAATTGCTTTGTTGTTGCATCATCAATATCATTCGCCTCGCTTGTACCCAATCCCTTGGTTAATTCTCCTTGTCCATCTTAGTAGCACAACAAAGATACGCTTTTCAGTCTTGTTCTTCACGAAGTTTACGATAAGTGATCATTATGTCAACTTTTACTAAGCTCTTACCTAACACTTGCATTAGCAGAGCTCTAGACGGCTTTTAGGATGAACAGTGTCGGTGCTCAATTGGTTTCCAGTTTCACTATCAAGTGCCAAAACAGATGAATCCTTCGTCCCAACAGCTAAAATGTTTTTCTTAAAACCCTGCAAACTGCATGCTCGGAACTGTAGAGAGATGATACCAGTACTAATCTCACTTGTGATTTGTTTCTGATATAACAAAGTTGAGCCATTCATGTCAATAACTGAAACCTGCAACAAAATAATAAAAAACTTTGAACGTCAAAGCGGAAAGAATCAAACGTGGTAGGTAGATGGCACAATATATTTTTGTGTCTACTAGATGATCCTTGGCATTAGTTAAAGTGTTCAATGAAAGTTCAAATATTCTGATAATCTATGATGTGCATTTCGGTTCCAGATCAAATCAACGTGTATCTGGTAATAAAATTCTGGAAAATAGCTCACATATCCTTGATCAGAACCAACAGCAAGATGTTTTGAGCCACGATCTGTGTTCATGGATAGTACAGCACCATTAGTCTTTATAAGTTTCACACTGTGAATTATATGATCAGTCGCTTTTTTGGTGCTTCCTACAAAGAAGAATCGAAATGCGCGTCA